ACGTTTAAAATGAGACCTATCGCCTCCTATCATTCCGTAGCCCCCTATCCCCCCCTATATCCCCTGTATCCCCCCCATAGCCGCCTATATCCCTCCTATCACCCCTTATCTCACCTTATATCCACTCTATTGCCCCCTGTATCAACCCATATCCCCCCTATTGCCCCCTATATCACCCTATGTCCCCCGTATCGTACCCTATATCCTCCCTATCGCCCCTATATCCCCCCTATAGACCCCCTATCACCCCCTATAGCCTCCCATATCCCCCCTATCGCCCCTATATCCCCTATAGCCCCCTATTGCCCCCTATATCCCCCCTATAGCCCCCTATCACTCCTCCATCCCCATATTCCCCCATAAGCCCCCTATATCCCCCCTATTGCCCCCTATAGGCTCCCATATCCCCCGTATTGCCCCTATATCCCCCCCATAGCCCTCTATTGCCTCTATATCCCCCTATATCCCCCTATATCCCCCTATATCCCCCTATCTCCCCCTATATCCCCCTATATCTCCCCTATATCCCCCTATATCCCCCTATATCCCCCTATATCCCTCTATCCCTATCTCCCTTCCCTATCTCCCCTATCCCCCTATATCCCCCTATATCCCCCTATATCCCCCTATCTCCCCCTATATCCCCCTATATCCCCCTATATCCCCCTATATCCCCCTATATCCCCCTATATCCCCCTATATCCCCCTATATCCCCCTATATCCCCTATATCCCCCTACGTACCCCCTATATCCCCCTATGTACCCCTATATCCCCCTATATACCCCCTATATCCCCCTATGGACCCCCTATATCCCCCTATATCCCCCTATATCCCCCTATATCCCCCTATATCCCCCTTATCCCCCTATATCTCCCCTATATCCCCCTATATCCCCCTATATCCCCCTATATCCCCCTATATCCCCTATATCACCCCCTGTCTCCCCCCCCGTGTTGACCCGGCAGTAATCGGCGCCCTGATTGGCCGCCAGGAGGGCCGCAGCATCGAGGTCATGAACTCCTTCGAGCTCCTGGCGCACGGCGTCGACGGCCACGTCCTCATCGACAAGGAGTACTATTACACCAAGGAGGAGCAGTGTGAGCCCCATAGAGACCCATAGAGACCCATAGGGACCCATAGAGACCCATAGAGACCCATAGAGACCCATAGGGACCCATAGAGACCCATAGAGACCCATAGGAACCCATAGGGACACACAAGGAGTACTATTACACCAAGGAGGAGCAGTGTGAGCCCCATAGAGACCCATAGGGACCCATAGGGACCCATAGAGACCCATAGGGACACATAGGGACCCATAGAGACCCATAGGGACCCATAGAGACCCATAGAGACCCATAGGGACACAACAAGGAGTACTATTACACCAAGGAGGAGCAGTGTGAGCCCCATAGAGACCCATAGGGACCCATAGAGACCCATAGAGACCCATAGGGACACAACAAGGAGTACTATTACACCAAGGAGGAGCAGTGTGAGCCCCATAGAGACCCATAGGGACCCATAGGGACCCATAGAGACCCATAGGGACACAACAAGGAGTACTATTACACCAAGGAGGAGCAGTGTGAGCCCCATAGGGACCCATAGGGACCCATAGAGACCCATAGGGACCCATAGAGACACAACAAGGAGTACTATTACACCAAGGAGGAGCAGTGTGAGCCCCATAGGGACCCATTGAGCCCCATAGGGACCCATTGAGCCCCATAGGGACCCATTGAGCCCCATAGAGACCCATAGGGATGCACAGGGCCGAGGGAGCGTGGCCTCGGCTGACCCCACTGCACTGCGGCACTATGGCGCCCCCTGGTGGACGCGCAGCAACGCCCTGCCTGGAGCCTGCTGTAACCCCATAGGGACCCATAGAGACCCCATAGAGACCCATAGAGACCCCATAGGGACCCCATAGAGACACATAGAGACCCCATAGAGACACATGGAGACACCTAGAGACCCCAAAGGGAACCATAAAAACGCCATAGAGACACATAGGGACCCCATAGAGACCCCATAGAGACCCATAGGGACACATAGGGACCCATAGAGACCCCATAGAGACCCATAGGGACACATAGGGGCACATAGCGCCTGCCAGAGGGGGTATAGGGGGGTTATGGGGGGGTGTAAGGGGGATATAGGGGGGTATAGAGGTGTTATAGAGGGGGTATAGGGGTGTAGGGGGGTATAGAGGTGGTATAGGGGGGTCATGGGTGGTATAGGGGGGTGTAGGGGGGATATAGGGGAGTTATGGGGGGGTATAGGGGGGTTATGGGAGGTATAGGGGGGTCATGGGTGGTATAGGGGGGTGTAGGGGGGATATAGGGGAGTTATGGGGGGGTATAGGGGAGTTATGGGAGGTACAGGGGGTTATGGGGGGTGTAGGGGGGGATGTTAGAGGGTTATAGGGGGATTAAAGGGGGGTGTAGGGGGGATATATGGGGGTGTAGGGGGGTATAGAGGGGGTATAGGGGGCTTATGGGGTCCATAGGTGTCTATGGGGTCTATGGGGTCTATAGGTGTCTATGGGGTCTATGGGGCTGGCCTGACGCCCCTGTGCCCCCAGTCAAGCAGGTCTTCAAGGAGCTGGAGTTCCTGGGCTGGTACACGACGGGGGGGCCCCCCGAGCCCGCCGACATCCACGTGCACAAGCAGGCCAGTGACCCCCCCATTATAGGGGTACCCCTGTCCCCATTATAGGGGTACCCCTCATCTCATTATAGGGGTACCCCCCATTATAGTGGTATCCCCATCCCCATTATAGGGGTACCCCCAGTATAGGGGTACCCCCATCCGTTTATAGGGGTACCCCCCTCCACATTATAGATGTATTGCTATCCCCATTATAGGGGTACCCCCATTATAGGGGTATCCCCATCCGTTTATAGGGGTACCCCCCTCCACATTATAGATGTACTGCTATCCCCATTATAGAGGTACCCCCATTATAGGGGTATCCCCATCCTCATTGTAGGTGTACCCCCCATCCCCATTATAGGGGTAATCCCATTATACGGGTACCTCCCCTTTATAGGGGTGCCCATCCCATTATAGTGGTTAACCCCATCCCATTATACGGGTTACCCCCCATCCCATTATATGGGTACCCCCATCCCATTATAGGGGTAGTCCTCACCCCATTATAGGGGTACCCCCCATTATACTGGTCTCTCCCATCACATTACAGGGGTACCCCTCATCCCATTATAGGGGTACTCCCCACCCCATTATAGGGGTACCCCCCCACCCCATTATAGGGGTACCCCCCCTTTACCCCCCCATGTACCCTATAGGTGTGTGAGATCATCGAGAGCCCCCTCTTCCTGAAGCTGAACCCCATGACCAAGCACACGGATGTGAGTGATGGAGGGGGGGGACCCCCACATTCTATAGGGGGACCCCCCCTTATTCTATAGGGGAACCCCACATTCTATAGGGGGACCCACATATTCTATAGGGGAACCCCATATTCTATGGGAGGACCCCCCCATAATGATCTCTATTGCCCCCCCCTATTCAGCTGCCTGTGAGCGTGTTTGAGTCCGTCATTGATATCATCAATGGGGAGGTAATGGGGGTCTATGGGGCTGGGGGGGCTATGGGGGGGGGAAATGGGGTTAAAAGGGGGGGAAATGGGGTTAAAGGGGAAATGGGGCTAAAAGGGGGGAAATGGGGCAAAAAGGGGGGAAATGGGGCAAAAAAGGGGGGAAATGGGGCTAGGGGGAAATGGGGCTGGGGGATCTGTGGTGGAATGGGGTTAAAAGGGTGGGAAATGGGGCTGGGGGGTCTATAGGGGGTGGAAATGGGGCTGAAGGGGGCAAATATGGGTCTGGGGGGGTAAAGATGGGTCTGGAATGGGTGTAAATGGGGCTCTATGGGGTATAAATGGGGTGGGCGAGTCCATTGTGGGCTATGGGGGGGGTTAAATGGGTCCGGGGGTGACAAAAATTAGTTTGGGGGGGCAAATATGGGTCTGGGGGGGTAAAAGTGGGTCTGGGGGGGCAAATATGGGGCTGGGGGGGTAAAAATGGGTCTGGAATGGGTGTAAATGGGGCTCAATGGGGTGGACGAGTCCATTGTGGGCTATGGGGGGTGCCCGGGTGAGTCCACGTGTGCCATAGAGGGGGGGGTTCAATGCGTTCCTTCGCGCTTGGGGGGCCCGTTGGGTGTTATGGGGAGCATAGGGGTCTATGGGGAGGTCTATGGGGTCTATAGGGGGGGTTATGGGGTAGGGCCCCCCCCATAGGGTCTCTATGGGGCTGCCCCATAGGCGACGATGCTGTTCGCGGAGCTGCCCTATACCCTGGCCACGGAGGAGGCGGAGCGAATCGGCGTGGATCACGTGGCCCGGATGACGGCGACAGGGGGCGGGGAAAGCAGCACCGGTGGGGGATGGGGATGGGATATAGGGGGGGGAGATGGGATATATGGGGGGGATATGGGATATATGGGGTGGGTATGGGATATATGGGGTGGATATGGGATATATGGGGTGGGTATGGGGTATATGGGGTGGATATGGGATATATGGGGTGGGTATGGGATATATGGGGTGGATATGGGGTATATGGGGTGGATATGGGATATATGGGGTGGATATGGGATATATGGGGTGGGTATGGGATATATGGGGTGGATATGGGATATATGGGGTGGATATGGGATATATGGGGTGGATATGGGATATATGGGGTGGATATGGGATATATGGGGTGGATATGGGATATATGGGGTGGATATGGGATATATGGGGTGGATATGGGATATATGGGGTGGATATGGGATATGTGGGGGAGATGGGATATATGGGGTGGAGATGGGATATATGGGGTGGATATGGGATATATGGGGTGGATATGGGATATATGGGGTGGATATGGGATATATGGGGTGGAGATGGGATATATGGGGTGGAGATGGGATATATGGGGTGGATATGGGATATATGGGGTGGATATGGGGTATATGGGGTGGATATGGTATATATGGGGTGGGTATGGGATATATGGGGTGGATATGGGGTATATGGGGTGGATATGGGATATATGGGGTGGATATGGGATATATGGGGTGGATATGGGGTATATGGGGTGGATATGGGATATATGGATGGATATGGGATATATGGGGTGGATATGGGATATAGGGGTGGATATAGGAATATAAGGGTGGATATGGGATATAGGGGTAGTGGGATGTAGGGATATGGGATATAGGGTATGGGCTATGGGATCTATGGGATGTATGGGCTATGGGCTCTATGTTCTCTATGTGTCTCTATGTGTCTCTATGGGTCCCTATGGGTCTCTATGGGTCCCTATGGTTCTCTATGGGTCCCTATGGTTCTCTATGTGTCCCTATGGGTCTCTCTGGTCCCCAGTGGCCGAGCACCTCATAGCCCAGCACAGCGCCATCAAGATGCTCCACAGCCGCGTGCGCCTCATCCTCGAGTACGTGCGGGCGGCCGAGGCCGGTGAGTGCCCCCCGGCGCCATGGCAACGGTACCATAGCAACGGCACCATGGTAACGGTCCTATGGGAGCATCCCTATGGGAGCATCCCTATGGGAGCATCCCCATGGCAACGGCACCATAGCAACGGCACCATAGCAACGGCACCATGGCAACAGCTCCATGGCAACGGTCCTATGGGAGCATCCCTATGGGAGCATCCCCATGGCAACGGTACCATAGCAACGGTACCATGGCAACAGCTCCATGGCAACGGCACTGTGGTAACGGCACCATAGCAACGGCACCATGGTAACGGTTCTATGGGAGCATCCCTATGGGAGCATCCCTATGGGAGCATCCCCATGGCAACGGCACCATAGCAACGGCACCATGGTAACGGTTCTATGGGAGCATCCCTATGGGATCATCCCTATGGGAGCATCGCTATGGGAGCATCCAAATGGCAACGGCACCGTAGCAACGGCACCATGGTAACGGTCCTATGGGAGCGTCCCCATGGCAACGGCACCATAGCAACGGCACCATGGTAACGGTCCTATGGGAGCGTCCCTATGGGAGCATCCCTATGGGAGCATCGCTATGGGAGCATCCCCATGGCAATGGCACCGTGGCAGCACCCCCATAGCAACAGCCCCATGGCAACGGTACCATGGCAACGGCACCATAGCAACGGCACCATGGCAACAGCCGTATGGGAGCGTCCCTATGGGAGCATCCCTATGGGAGCATCCCCATGGCAACGGCACCATGGCAGCACCCCCATAGCAACAGCCCCATGGCAACGGTACCATGGCAACGGTACCATGGCAACGTCCCCATGGGAGCATCTTTATGCAAGCCCTATGGAACCAACCCCATGGATCCCAATGCAATCCCCATGGATGCCCATGGACCCATCCCTATGGCTCCCCATGGATCCCTATGGATCCCCATGGATCCCCATTGATCCCCATGGATCCCTATGGCTCCCCATTGATCCCCATGGCCGCTGCTCTCCCCACAGGGGCTCTCCCCTTCAACCACGAGCTCCTGCGCGAGGCCTGCGCCCTCTGCCACTGCCTGCCCGTGCTCAGCACCGACAAGTTCAAGACCGACTTCTATGATGTGAGTGAGACCCATAGGGACCCATAGAAACCCCATAGGGACCCATAGAAACCCCATAGGGACCCATAGAAACCCCATAGGGACCCATAGGGACCCATAGAGACCCATAGAGACCCATAGGGACACAGAGACACATAGAGACCCCATAGAGACACATAGAGACACATAGAGACCCATACAGACACATAGAGACCCCATAGGGACCCCATAGGGACCCATAGAAACCCCATAGAGAGCCATAGAGCCCCATAGAGACCCCATAGAGACCCATAGAGAACACATAGAGTCACATAGAGACCCATAGAGACCCATAGATTCCCATAGACCCCCCATAGACCCCTATAGATCCCCATAGACCCCTACAGGATGTCGTGGACTGTTCCATTCCAATATAGGGACCTTTCCATCCCAATGGGGGGGGGGTTGTCCCATTCATTTCAATGGGGGCCTCATGGCCCATTCATTTCAATGGGGGCGCTCATGTCCCATTCATATCAATGGGGGGTTCTCACTGGCTCCCCCTTGTGTCCGCCCCATAGCAATGCAACTATGTGGCGCTCATGTCCCATTCATTTCAATGGGGGGGGGGTTGTCCCATTCATTTCAATGGAGGCGCTCATGTCCCATTCATTTCAATGGGGGGTTCTCACTGGCTCCCCCTTGTGTCCACTCCGTAGCAATGCAACGATGTGGCGCTCATGTCCCATTCATTTCAATGGGAGGGGGTTTGTCCCATTAATGGGTTTGTCCCATTCATTCCAATGGGGGGTTCTCACTGGCTCCCCCTTGTGTCCGCCCCATAGCAATGCAACGATGTGGGGCTCATGTCCCATTCATTTCAATGGGAGGGGGTTTGTCCCATTCATTTCAATGGGGGCTCATGTCCCATTCATTTCAATGGGGGGTTCTCACTGGCTCCCCCTTGTGTCCGCCCCATAGCAATGCAACGATGTGGGGCTCATGGCCTACCTGGGCACCCTGACCAAGGCCTGCAACACCATGAACCAGTTTGTGAACAAGTTCAACGTCCTCTATGACCGGCAGGGACTGGGCCGGCGCATGAGGGGGCTCTTCTTCTAGGGGGGGGAATGGGGGGCAATGGGGGGGTCTATGGGGAGGGTCAATGGGGACTCAATGGGGTCTTCATTGGGGGCATCCTCAATAAAAGACATCAATGGGGACTCAACGGGGTCTTCAATGGGGACTCAATGGGGGCTCAATGGGGTCTTCAATGGGGGCATCCTCAATGGGAGCATCCTCAATAAAGGTCTTCAATGGGGTTTTCAGTGGGAGCTCAATGGGGTCTTCAATGGGGTCTTCAATGGGGACTCAGTGGGGTCTTCAATGGGGGTCGTCAATGAGGACTCAATGGGGTCTTTAGTGGGGTCTTCAATGGGGTCTCAATGGGGTCTTCAATGGGGTTCCCGGGGGGCTGCCCTCAGCTTTGCCAGGGGCAATAAAAATGGCTTTGAGAAGTGGTTGTGGGGGGGTCAATGGGGCCCTAAAGGGGTCCATGGGGTCCTAAAGGGGTCCATGGGGCCCTAAAGGGGTCAGTGGGGCCCTAAAGGGGTCAATGGGGCCCTAAAGGGGTCCCTGGGGTATTAAAGGGCTATGGGGGGGATAAATGGGGTATTAAGGGCAGGCAAAACGGCTCCAAACCAGCACTTTATTGCTAAAACACATCCATGGGGCTGCCCCATAGCTCTGTAGGTCTGCCCCACACATCTATGGCCTGCCCCACACATTTATAAGCCTGCCCTATACATCTATATGCCTACCCTATAGCTCTCTAGCACTGCCCCATAGAAATGTGGGTGTGCCCCACAGATGTATAGCCCTGCCCCATAGATTCATAGCCCCTGCCCCATGGATCTCTAGCCCTGTCCCATAGATGTGTGGGTCTACCCCATAGATGTATATCCCCGCCCCATGAATCTCTACCCCTGCTCCATAGACGTGTGGGCCTGCCCCATAGCTCTACAGGCCCTGCCCCATAGATATGTGGGGCTGCCCCATAGATGTGTGGGTCTGCCCCATGGATCTCTAGCCCTGCCCCATAGATATGTGGGGCTGCCCCATAGATGTGTGGGTCTGCCCCATGGATCTCTAGCCCTGCCCCATAGATATGTGGGGCTGCCCCATAGATGTGTGGGGCAGCCCCATGGATCTCTAGCCCTGCCCCATAGATATGTGGGGCTGCCCCATAGATGTGTGGGTCTGCCCCATGGATCTCTAGCCCTGCCCCATAGATATGTGGGGCTGCCCCATAGATGTGTGGGTCTGCCCCATGGATCTCTAGCCCTGCCCCATAGATATGTGGGGCTGCCCCATAGATGTGTGGGGCCGCCCCATAGCTCAGACGAAGGTGACGCGGGTGCGGGCGGCGTTGACCTGCACCACGTTGAGCTCCTCGTACTCGTCCAGCGCCTCCCGCACCTGGGCTGGGGTGAAGCCTTTGGCCACGCAGCGCTCCAGGGCCTCGCTATAGGGCACAGCCCCACGGCCGCCCCCCAGCTCCCGCAGCGCCGCCAAGATGGCGTCCGAGGGGCGCTGGGGCCTGTGGGGGGCAGATAGAGGGGGTAATGGGGGGTTATGGGGGGTAATGGGGGGTTATGGGGGGTAATGGGGGGTTATGGGGGGGTAATGGGGGGTTATGGGGGGTAATGGGGGTTATGGGGGTAATGGGGGGGTAATGGGGGGTTATGGGTGGGGATATGGGGGTAATGGGAGGTTATGGGGGGGTTATGGGAAGGTATAGGGGGATATGGGGATCTCATAGGGATGCATGGGGGGTCCATAGGGATATGTAGGGGGGGTGTCAATGGGGCCCATAGGGACCAACGGGGATCAGTGGGGTCAATAGGGATGAATGGGGTCCATAGGGATGAATGGGGCCCATAGGGATCAATGGGGTCAATAGGGATGAATGGGGCTCATAGGGATGAATGGCGCCCATAGGGATGAATGGCGCCCATAGGGATGAATGGCGCTCATAGGGATGAATGGCGCCCATAGGGATGAATGGCGCTCATACTGATGAATGGCGCCCATAGGGATGAATGGCGCCCATAGGGATGAATGGCGCTCATAGGGATGAATGGCGCCCATAGGGATGAATGGCGCCCATAGGGATGAATGGCGCCCATAGGGATGAATGGGGCCCATAGGGATGAATGACGCCCATAGGGATGAATGGTGCCCATAGGGATGAATGGCGCTCATAGGGATGAATGGAGCCCATAGGGATGAATGGCGCTCATAGGGATGAATGGAGCCCATAGGGATGAATGGCGCTCATAGGGATGAATGGAGCCCATAGGGATGAATGGCGCTCATAGGGATGAATGGAGCCCATAGGGATGAATGGCGCTCCTAGGGATGAATGGCGCCCGTAGGGATGAATGGCGCCCATAGGGATGAATGGGGCCCGTAGGGATGAATGGGGCCCATAGGGATGAATGGGGCCCATAGGGATGAATGACGCCCATAGGGATGAATGGCGCCCATAGGGATGAATGGCGCCCATAGGGATGAATGGGCCCCATAGGGCTCAATGGGCCTGACCGTGCCGAGGGCTCCTGCTCCGGCTCCAGTGATTCCCGGCTCATCTCCAGCAGCCGCAGGGCCTCGGCCACGTCCTCGCGCTCCACCACAGTCCCGAGGCGCAGCCGGGCCTGCCCCATAGAGACCCCATAGAGACACATAGAGAGACATAGAGACCCCATAGGGACCCATAGAGACCCATAGAGACCCCATAGAGACCCATAGAGACCCATAGAGACCCATAGAGACCCCATAGAGACCCCATAGAGACCCATAGAGACCCCATAGAGACCCCACAGAGACCCATAGAGACCCATAGAGACCCCATAGAGACCCATAGAGACCCATAGGGACCCATAGAAACCCCATAGAGACCCATAGGGACCCATAGGGACCCATAGAGACCCATAGAGACCCCATAGAGACCCATAGAGACCCATAGAAACCCAATAGAGACCCCATAGAGAGAGACCCATAGAGACCCATAGAGACCCCATAGAGACCCATAGAGACCCATAGAAACCCAATAGAGACCCCATAGAGAGAGACCCCATAGAGACCCCATAGAGACCCCATAGAGACCCATGTTATCCCATGTTCCCCCCCTGTGCCCTCACCAGCGCCGTCGCCATCCGCAGCAGCGCCAGGAGGCTCCGGGCCGAGGTGAACCCCGTCTCGCGGCTGGCCCCGCCCCCGGCCACGCCCCCTTTGCGCAGCCCCACGTAAGCACCAATCAGAACCTCGGACAGAGCTGGGGGCACCAATGGCTGCTGCCGCTTGCACAGGGCCAGGTACCGCCTGCGGGGAGCCAATGGGAGCCCGTGGCAGCCAGCGGCAGCCAATGGGAGCCAGGGATACAGGGATGGATGCGGTACATAAGGATGCATAGGGATGGATGCGGTACATAGGGATCCATAGGGATGGATGCGGTACATAGGGATGGGTGGGGTACATAGGGGTCCATAGGGATGGATGGGGTACATAGGGATGGATGGGGTACATAGGGCTCCATAGGGAACCATAGGGATCCATAGGGATCCAATGGGATCCAGGGGTGCGCCCTCACCTCATGAGCTTCATGTCCAGGGGCTGGAAGGCGCCGGGGGGCTCCCGGTTGTGCCGGTGCACGAAGGTGATGTGATGGGCGAGGCTGTGGGGCAGCCCCATAGCGTCAGTGGGACCCAGAGACACCAATGGGACCCATTGCACCCATGGGGCCCATAGGCACCAGCCCCACATCTCCTACAGGCTCCAACCCCATGGTTCCCAGCCCCACATCCCCTGTAGCTGCCAACCCCACACATCTCTATGGTTCCCATCTCCTATAGCTCCATCCCCATGGCTCCCAGCCCCACATCCCCTATAGCTCCCAGCCCCACACATCCCTATGGTTCCCAGCCCCACATCTCCTATAGCTCCCAGCCCCACACATCCTTATGGCTCCATTCCCTATAGCTCCATCCCCATTGCTCCCAGCCCCACAGCCCCTATGGCTCCATCCCCACACATCCCCATAGCCCCATCCCCACACCTCCATCCCCATTGTTCCATCTCCATACCTCCATCCCCATAGCCCCCATACCAATAGCCCCATCCCCATAGACCCCATCCCCATAGACCCCATCCCATAGACCCCATCCCATAGACCCCATCCCCATAGACCCCATCCCCATAGACCCCATCCCCATAGACCCCATCCCCATAGACCCCATCCCCATAGCCCCATCCCCATAGCCCCATCCCCATAGCCCCATACCCCCCATAGCCCCATAACCCCCCATAGCCCCATAGCCCCCCCCCCATAGCCCCATCCCCATAGCCCATCCCCATAGCCCCCATCCCCATACCCCCATCCCCATAGCCCCCATCCCATAACCCCTCCATAGCCCCATCCCCATAGCCCCATAACCCCCCATAGCCCCATCCCCCCCATAGCCCCATACCCCCCATATCCCCATCCCCATAGCCCCATACCCCCCATAGCCCCATACTCCCACATAGCCCCATACCCCCCATAGCCCCACCCCCATCCCCCCTACCCCCCCCATATCCCCTCACCTCAAATCCCGACTCCTCCTGGGCCTATCCCTCATCAACCACAACAAATCGAAGCGGGACAGCAGGGCCGGGGGCAGCCTCACGTTGTGCTCTATGGGGCGCCGTGGGTCGAAGCGCCCCATGGCCGGGTTGGCGGCCGCTAGGACGGCGCAGCGCGCGTTGAGCGTGGCTGCGATACCGGCCTTGGCCAGCGAGAGGCGCTGTTGCTCCATGGCTTCGTGCAGCGCCACCCGCTCCCCGGCCCGCAGCTTCTCGAACTCGTCCATGACGCACACGCCGCGGTCCGCCAGCACTAGGGCGCCCCCTAGCAGCGTGGAGGACCCCGTGTGCGGGTCCCGGATTAAGGAAGCGGTGAGGCCCGCACCGGAGGAGCCGCGACCGGTGGTGAAGTGACCTGGAGGGGGTATTATGGGATGGGGATGGGGTATTATGGGATGGGGATGGGGTATATGGGGTGGATATGGGATATATGGGGTGGGTATGGGATATATGGGGTGGATATGGGATATATGGGGTGGATATGGGGTATATGAGGTGGGTATGGGATATATGGGGTGGGTATGGGATATATGGGGTGGGTATGGGATATATGGGGTGGATATGGGATATATGGGGTGGATATGGGGTATATGGGGTGGATATGGGATATATGGGGTGGATATGGGATATATGGGGTGGGTATGGGATATATGGGGTGGATATGGGATATATGGGGTGGATATGGGGTATATGGGGTGGATATGAGATATATGGGGTGGATATGGGGTATATGGGGTGGATATGGGGTATATGGGGTGGATATAGGGATATAGGGATGAGAATATGGGATATAGATATATACGAATATAGGAATGCAATATAGGAATATAGGAATGGAGATATATAGGGATATAGGGATATAGAAATGGATATATATGATACGGGATATAGGGATATGGGATATAGGGATGGGAATACAGAGATACAGGAATATAGGGATGGAGATTGCATATGGGGATATGGGGTATGGGATATAGGGATGGAGATGGGGACATGGGATATTAGGGATACAGGGATATGGGATATAGGTATATAGATAGGTGATACAGGGATGGGCTATAGGGATGCAGGGATACAGGGATGGGGATGTGGGGGTCAATGGGGGTCAATGGGGATCAATGGGGTCCCCCCCGCTCTCACTGCGCGGCGCCAGGCGGTCGATGTAGGACAGGAGCTGGGACTTGGCCACGCCGGGGTCCCCCATGAGGCAGATGTTGATGTTCCCTATGGGAGCCCGTCAGACATCCCATAATAACCAATGGGGACCCCGAGCATCCCATAATAACCCAATGGGGACCCCAAGCATCCCATAATAACCCAATGGGTACCCCAACCATCCCCATTATCCCCCCATTACCCCATCATGATCCCCCCATTGTTCCCCCATTATCCCATTATCCCTTCATTACCCCCCCATTACACCATCATTATCACCACATTACCCCCATTATCCCCCCATTACCCCCCATTATCCCATCATTCTCCCCCATTACCCCACCATTATCCCCCCATTATGCCATTGTTATACCCCATTACCCCCCCAGTATCCCCTCTTCCCCATTCCCCCAGTATCCCCCCATTACTCCCCCATTATCCCACCAGTATCCCCATTACCTCCCACCATCCCAGTATCCCCCCATTATCCCCATCACCCCCCCCCCCCCCCCATTATCACATCATTACCCCCCCATCACCCCCCCAGTATCCCCCCATTACTCCCCCATTACCCCCCAGTATCCCCCCATTACTCCCCCATTAGCCCCCAGTATCCCCCCATTATCCCACCAGTTCCCCCATTACCCATCATCCCAGTATCCCCCCATTATCCCCCATCACCCCCATTATCCCATCATTATCCCCCCATTCCCCCCATTCCCCCATTATCCCCAATACTCCCATTCCCCCCATTACCCCCCCATTCCCCCCCAGTATCCCATTACCACCCCAGTATCCCCCTATTACCCCCCCATCATCCCTCCATTATCCCCAGAGTGTATCCCATCATTATCCCCCCATTCCCCCCCCCATTACCCCCAGTATCCCCCAGTCCCCCCCATTGCCCCCATGCTCACCCCGGATGCGCAGCCCCTGCAGCTCCCTCTCCACGCCCCCCACCAGCAGCAGCAGCAGCGCCTTCTTCACGTCCTCGTGCCCATAGATCTCAGGGGCGATGGAGCCCGCCAGCCGCTCGTACAGGTCCTCGCCTGCCCCACAGCACAGCGCCATGGGGCTGACCCATAGATGGCCCATTGACACCCACTGAGGCCCCATTGACTCCCATTCATGCCCCACTGACGCCCATTGATGTCCATTGACTGCCATTGATGCCCATTGATGCCCCATTGACACCCATTGAGGGCCCATTGACTCCCATTCATGGCCCATTGACGCCCATTGATGTCCATTGACTGCCATTGATGCCCATTGATGCCATTGACACCCATTCATGCCCCATTGACGCCCATTGATGTCCATTGACTGCCATTGATGCCCATTGATGCCCCATTGACGCCCATTGATGTCTATTGACTGCCATTGATGCCCATTGATGCCCCATTGACTCCCATTCATGGCCCATTGACACCCATTGATGCCCCACTGACTCCCATTCATGGCCCATTGATGCCCATTGATGCCCCATTGACTCCCATTCATGCCCCATTGACGCCCATTGATGTCCATTGACTGCCATTGATGCCCATTGATGCCCCATTGACTCCCATTCATGCCCCATAGACGCCCATTGATGCCCCATTGACTGCCATTGATGCCCCATTGACACCCATTGATGCCCATTGATGCCCCATTGACTGCCATTGATGGCCCATTGACTCCCATTGACTGCCATAGATGGGTCCCAGTGCTATGGGGCTGCCCTATAGATGGGTCCCAGTGCTAGGGGGCTGCCCCATAGATATTCCCCAGCGCTATGGGTCTGCCCCATATATGGCCCCAGCACTATGTGTCTGCCCCATAGATGGCCCCAGAGCTATGGGGCTGCCCCATAGATGGTCCCCACTGCTATGGGTCTGACCCCAGCGGTATGTGTCTGCCCCATAGATGTTCCCCAGCGCTATGGGTCTGCCCCATATATAGCCCCAGCACTATGTGTCTGCCCCATATATGGCCCCAGCGCTGTGGGGCTGCCCCATAGATGCTCCCCAGCGCTATGGGTCTGCCCCATAGATGGCCCCATAGCGCTATGGGTCTGCCCCACAGCTGCCTCCTCACCCGCCAGCTGCTGCAGCTCCTCCTCGCTGAGCTCCCCCCCGCTCAGCTCCTCCTCCTCGCTCTTGCTCACGTTCTCCACGCAGTGCGCCTCCAGGTAGGTCTCGGAGAGCAGCCCCTGTGGGGCAGGGAGGGGGTTATGGGGCGGGGGCCATGGGGGGGGGCATGGGGTATCTATGGGGTGTCTATGGGGCAGTGTCTATAGGTTATCTATGGGGTGTCTATGGGCTATGTATGGGGTGGCCATGGGTTATCTATGGGGTGTCTATGGGTTATCTATGGGGCAGTGTCTACGGGGTTTCTATGGGTTATCTATGGGGCAGTGACTATGGGGCAGTGTCTATGGGGTGTCTATGGGGCAGACATAGCACTGGGGACCATCTATGGGTCTATGGGTCATCTATGGGGTGTCTATGGGTCATCTATGGGGTGTCTATGGGTTATCTATGGGGCAGTGTGTATGGGGCAGTGTCTATGGGGTGTCTATGGGTCATCTATGGGGTGTCTATGGGGTGTACATGGGTCACCTATGGGGTGTCTATGGGGTGTCGATGGGTCATCTATGGGGTGTCTATGGGTCATCTATGGGGTGTCTATGGAGTGTCCATGGGTCATCTATGGGGTGTCTATGGGGTGTCTATGGGTTATCTATGGGGCAGTGTCTATGGGGCAGTGTCTATGGGGTATTTATAGGTCAGTGTCTCTATAGGGCAGTATCTCTATGGGTCAGTGTCTCTATGGGTCAGGGTCTCTATGGGTCAGGGTCTCTATAGGTCAGTGTCTATAGGTCAGTGTCTATGGGTCAGTGTCTCTATGGGTCAGGGTCTCTATAGGTCAGCGCCCCCCCCGTGACCCCGTGAGCCCGTGTCTGACCTGCGCCCCCTGTCGGCCGCGCTCCGCCCGCAGGGGCAGGAAGGTCCCCGTGACCCGGATGTGATCCCCGGGCTGGGCCCGGCGCGCGTTGGAGCCCAGGGCGACCACGGGCAGGGAGCGGGGGAGGTGCCCGGGGGGGACGTGCTCGGTCTGGGGGGGAGGGGAGAGAGAGAGGGGGAGGGGTTAATGGGGTATGGGGGGGGAGGGGGGATGGGGATAATAGGATGGGGGGGTGATGGGGTGGGGGGAGGGGGCAATGATGGGACATGGGGGGGATGGGGGAGAATGGGATGGGGGCAATGGGGGAGACAATGGGACATGGGGGGGATGGGGGGAGGATGGAATGGGGGAGGGGGGGTCAATGGGATGGGGGGAAGGGGCAGAGGGGGGGATGGGAGGCAATGCGAGGGGGGAATGATGGGACATGGAGATGGGGACAATGGGATGGGGTGGGGATGAAGCCAAACCCACACCTGCCCCCCATTGAACCAACCCTTCCATGGGGCTGGATGTGGGGCACAACCCCCCAAACCCCATAGCCACCCCATAGACCCCCCATAGACCCCATAGAACCCCCATAGACCCCCACAAGCCCCATAACCACCCCATATCCCCCCATAGACTCCCATAGAGCACTATGGCGCCCTCTAGCGGCCAACCCGTGCCGCGCTCCCCAGCACCATTGACACTCAATGGAAGCGGCTCCCCATAGACCCCCATAGACCCCCATAGACCCCCATAGACCCCCCATAGACCCTCATAGACCCCCATAGACCCCACATAGACCCCCCTAGATCCCCATAGCCCCCCATAGACCCCGCATAGACCCCGCATAGACCCCCATAGACCCCCCATAGACCCCCATAGACCCCGCATAGACCCCCCATATCCCCCCCATAGCCCCCCATAGGCCCCCCATAGACCCCCCATAGCCCCCCATAGCTCACGTGCTCCTGCACCCGCAGCTCCTGGTACTGGGTGAAGCGGGAGCCCCGGCTCTGCAGGCTCAGGCGCCCCCCGGAGCGCTCCTGGCGGCAAACCCGGCTCGGGCAGAGCAGGAGGGGGGTGAAGGAGGGGGAGCGGATCTGGGGGGGCACAGGGGGGGGATAAGGGAGGGATCCATAGGGGTAAACCCATAGGGATACCCCATAGGGATGCTACATAGGGATACCCCATAGGGATGCCTCCATAGGGATACCCCATAGGGATGCCTCCATAGGGATACCCCATAGGGATGCTACATAGGGATACCCCATAGGGATGCTACATAGGGATACCCCATAGGGATGCCTCCATAGGGATACCCCATAGGGATGCTACATAGGGATACCCCATAGTGACGTCCCCATAGTGATACCCCCATTGGGACATCTCTATAGGGACATCTCTATAGGGAAGCATCTCCATAGTGATACCCCCATTGGGATACCCCCATAGTGACACCCCGATAGTGATGCCCCCATAGTGATACCCCCATAGCTCTATCTCTATAGGTCCACCCCATAGGGATGCTCACAGGCTGGTAGGTCTCAGCGCCACCCCCCCCATAGGGATGTCTCTATAGGTCCACCCCATAGCTCTATCTCTATAGGGCTGCCCCATAGGGATGTCCCTATAGGGCTGCCCCATAGCTCTATCTCTATAGGGCTGCCCCATAGCGATGCCCCATAGGGCTGTCTCTATAGGGATGCTCACTGGCTGGAAGGTCTCTATAGCCCCGCCCCCTAGCGCTCTCATTGGCTGGAAGGTCTCTATAACCCCCCTATAGGGATGTCTCTCTAGCCCCGACCCCAGCGCTCTCATTGGCTGGAAGGTCTCTATAACCCCCCTATAGGGATGTCTCTCTAGCCCCGCCCCCTCGCACTCTCATTGGCCGGAAGGTCCCCCTAGCCCCGCCCCCCGCGCTCTCACTGGCTGGAAGGTCTCGGCCCCGCAGCGGTCGCAGCTGTAGGTGGCCACCAGCAGCAGGGGCTGCACCTCCCCATAGGGATGTCTCTATGGCCCCGCCCCCTCGCACTCTCATTGGCCGGCAGGTCTCCCTAGCCCCGCCCCCCGCACTCTCACTGGCTGGAAGGTCTCGGCCCCGCAGCGGTCGCAGCTGTAGGTGGCCACCAGCAGCAGGGGCTGCACCTCCGTGACCCGGGTCACGACCCCGCTGAGGGTCAGGAGCTTCCCGATGGAGCCGGCCCTGGCGGCCCGGATGGGGCAGGGCTGCAGGGAGGAGGGGGGGCGGAAGTAGAGCTCGCTGGGGGGGGAGGGGATGGGGTACAGGGGGGGTATGGGGGGTATAGGGGGTATAGGGATATGGGGATATAGGAGGTATAGGGATATAGGGGGTATAGGGGATATAGGGGGTATAGGGATATGGGGGGTATAGGGGGATATAGGGGGGTATAGGGGATATAGGGGGTATAGGGATATAGGGGGTATAGGGATATGGGGGGTATAGGGGGATATAGGGGGGTATAGGGGATATAGGGGGTATAGGGGGATATAGGGGGTATAGGGATATGGGGGGTATAGGGGGATATAGGGGGGTATAGGGGATATAGGGGGTATAGGGATATAGGGGGTATAGGGATATGGGGGGTATAGGGGGATATAGGGGGGTATAGGGGATATAGGGGGTATAGGGATATAGGGGGTATAGGGATATGGGGGGTATAGGGGGATATAGGGGGGTATAGGGGATATAGGGGGTATAGGGATATAGGGGGTATAGGGATATGGGGGGTATAGGGGGATATAGGGGGGTATAGGGGATATAGGGGGTATAGGGATAGGGGGATACAGGGATGGATATGGGGGATGGATATGGGGTGGATTCAGGGATGGAGATAGGGACGGATACAGGGATGGATATGGGGATGGGTATGGGGGTAAATAGGGATGGATGGAGCAATGGGATGGGGGCAATGGGATGGGGATGGAGAAGAGATGAGGATTAGCATTTGGCACCAAAGGGTTCCCCTCTGTGTCCCCCTATAGATCCCCCTATGGATCCCATTATGGATCCCCCCTATGGGTGTCCCTATGGACCCCCCTACGGATCCCCCTATGGGTCCCCTCTATGGGTGCCCCCTATGGATCCCCCTATGGATGCCCCTATGGATCCCCCCTATGGGTCCCCCTATGGATCCCCCCTATGGATGCCCCTATGGGTCCCCCTATAGATCCCCCTATGGATGCCCCCATGGGTCCCCCCTATGGGTCCCCTATAGATCCCCCCTATGGGTGCCCCCTATGGGTGCCCCCTCTGGGTGCTCACAAGCGCCGCAGCAGCTCGGGGGGGTACTGGTTCTGGGGGTCCTGGGGCTCCCCCCGGTCCCGGCCCCGTTGCTCCAGCAGGAGCCGGTGCTCCAGGTACACGTCCAGCACGTCCCGGGGGGGCACCTGCGGGTAATGGGGGGCAATGGGGGTCAATGGGGATCAATGGATGTCAATGGGTATCAATGGATGTCAATGGTTATCAATAGGTACCAATGGGTATCAATGGGTATCAATGGATGTCAATGGGTATCAATGGGTGTCAATGGGTATCAATGGCAGATCAAAGGGGTACCAATGGATGTCAATGGGTATCAATGGGTGTCAATGGTTATCAATAGGTACCAATGGGTGTCAGTGAGTATCAATGGGGTGTCAATGACTATCAATAACAGTCAATTGGCATCAATGGCTATCAATGGGTACCAATGGGTATCAATGCTTATCAATGGATGTCAATGGTTATCAATGGCTATCAATGGCAGTCAATGGGTATCAATGGGTGTCAATGGTTATCAATGGCAGTCAATGGGGTGTCAATGGCTGTCAATGGGTATCAATGGGTACCAAGGGGTGTCAATGGCTATCAATGGCAGTCAATGGTTATCAATGGGAACCAATGGTTATCAATGGGGTGTCAATGGCTATCAATGGTTGTCAATGGGGTATTAATGACAGTCAATGGGGTATTAATGACAGTCAATGGGGTATCAATGGTTATCAATGGCAGTCAATGGGGTATCAATGGTTATCAATGGGGTGTCAATGGGTATCAATGGCTATCAATGGTTATCAATGGCAGTCAATGGGTATCACTGGGTGTCATCAATGGGGTCCCCGTGGGGGTCACCTCCTCTCCCCGGTACCGCGGCAGCAGCTCCTCCACGGCCTCCAGGAAGAGGCTCTGGTAGCGCCGGGCGTTCTCGCAGGCGGCTTCGGCCACCGCGGGCTCGGCCTCGGCCACATCATCCAGGGCCACCAGCACCACGGAGCTCGCCCGGCGCGAGACCTGCGCCTGTGGGGCAGCGACCCAGAAGTGTGGGGCTGGGACCCCCAGGTGTGGGGCTGAGACCCCTAAGTGTGGGGCTGGGACCCATAAGTGTGGGGCAGGGACCCAGAAGTGTGGGGCTGGGACCCGTAAGTGTGGGGCTGGGACCCATAAGTGTGGGGCTGGGACCCGTAAGTGTGGGGCTGGGACCCCCAAGTGTGGGGCTGGGACCCGTAAGATTGGGGCTGGGACCCATAAGTGTGGGGCAGGGACCCATAAGTGTGGGGCTGGGACCCATAAGTGTGGGGCTGGGACCCATAAGTGTGGGGCTGGGACCCATAAGTGTGGGGCTGGGACCCATAAGTGTGGGGCTGGGACCCATAAGTGTGGGGCTGGGACCCCCAAGTGTGGGGCAGGGACCCATAAGTGTGGGGCAGGGACCCATAAGTGCAATGGAGGGGGTTTAGGGGGGATATGGAGGGGATTTGGGGTGAAAAGTTGGGATTTAGGCAAAAGAGTTCGGATTTGGGGTGAAAAGTTGGGATTTAGGGAAATCCCTGTTCATTTTGGGGTCCCATCCCGGTGCCCCCCCCACTCCTCACCATCTGCTCCCGGTACGGGAACTCCTTGGCTCCACCGGCGCCTTCCCGGTAGAATTCCTCCAGGAATCGCTTGATCTTCTCTATGGGGCCGAGGGAACCAATGGGAACAGGGCATTATCCCATAGGAACCAATGGGAACGGGGCCGTTATCCCATAGGAACCAATGGGAACGGGGCGTTATCCCATAGGAACCAATGGGAACGGTCCGGTTATCCCATAGGAACCAATGGGAACGGTCCCGGTTATCCCATAGGAACCAATGGGAACGGTCCGGTTATCCCATAGGAACCAATGGGAACGGGTCCGGTTATCCCATAGGAACCAATGGGAACGGGCCCGGTTATCCCATAGGAACCAATGGGAACGGTCCCGGTTATCCCATAGGAACCAATGGCAACGGTCCCGGTTATCCCATAGGAACCAATGGGAACGGTCCCGGTTATCCCATAGGAACCAATGGGATCCCCCCCTCCCCCCATTATCCCGTTCCCACCTTTCTCAGCGGCGTAATCCAGTGGCGCCATTGTGGGGGGAGGGGTCCCGATACCGTTTCCCGCGCTCCGCTCCCGTTTCCCGCGCTCCGCTCCCGTTTCCCGCGCGCGCGCCGCTCCCTTTCTTCCCGCTGCCGCGACCGGTTTCGCGCGCAAAGCCCGCACCACGTGACCTCCTCCCTCCGCCCTTCCGCTTTGGTCACGCCCCCTTTCCGGCCTCTAAACCAATAGGCAGCGAGCAGAGGGGGTACGGTAACAAGCCACACCCTATTCCTCCTCTCAGCCAATAGGCAGCGAGCTCTGGCGGCGCGCCCTAGGCCACGCCCCCCCGTTTCCCATCAAGACCGGCGGCGAGGAGCAGGTCCCGTCTTAAAGGGGCCGCGGCCCTTTATGGTGGGGGCAAAGGGGATCAATGGGGGGCAATGGGGATCAATGGGGGGCAATGGGGATCAATGGGGTTTGGGGGGGATCAATGGGGGTAATGGGAATCAATTGGAGCCCAATGGGAATCAATTGCGTGTGATTGGGGCTCCGGGTTATGGGGTGCATGTGGGGGCGGGATTAAGGCGCTTGGGGGTGCTAATGGGTTATGGGGGGGGGTTCATGGGGCTATGGGGAGTAATGGGGATCTATGGGGGGTAATGGGGGGGTAATAGGGATCTATGGGGGGTAATGGGGGTCTATGGGGGGTAATGGGGATCCATGGGGGTAATGGGGATCTATGGGAGGTAATAGGAGTCTATGGGGCACCCCATTGACCCCCACTGTGTGTGTCCCCCATAGGGTGATGCTATCCCAGCTCTTCATCCTCTCTTCCAAGGGAGACCGGTTGCTCCATAGGGATTGTATCCTTCCCCCCCCCCCCTTAACCATAGCCCTATATGGGGGGGATCACCCCCATTATGACCCTATAAGGGGGTGCCCCCCCGAATCTGACCCTATATAGGGATGCCCCCCTCCCATTGTGACCCTATATATGGTTCTATCCCATCCATTATAGCCTCCCCCCCATTGTGGGGTCCCCCATTGTGCCCCCCCATTTCTCCTTGACCCCCCCATAGTCCGTGGGGACCCCTTGGACCCCATCACGGATGTGGCCGATGTCTTCTACCGCGGGGTCACCGCGCTGCCGGGGGACCAAGCACCGGTGTTCATGGTACCATGGGGGGCAATGGGGTAATGGGGGGCTATGGGGGTAATGGGGGTAATGGGGGGCTATGGGGCAATGGGGGTAATGGGGGTAATGGGGGGTTATGGGGCAATGGGGGGCAATGGGAGTCCCATTGACTTCAATGGGCGCAGGGTGCTGTTCGCCCTGATGGCCACAAGGCGGCAGTGTCGCCATTGACTCCCATTGAGTCCCATTGTCCCATTGACCCCAATTGGCTACCATTGACTATCATTGTAATGGGGGGCTATGGGGGTAATGGGGGTAATGGGGGGCTATGGGGCAATGGGGGCAATGGGGGTAATGGGGGTAATGGGGGGTTATGGGGCAATGGGGGGCAATGGGAGTCCCATTGACTTCAATGGGCCCAGGGTGCAGTTCGCCCTGGTGGCCACAAGGCGGCAGTGTTCCCATTGACTCCCATTGAGTCCCATTGTCCCATTGACCCCAATTGGTACTTGACTATCATTGTCGGGGTAATGGGGGTAATGGGGGTAATGGGGGTAATGGGGGCTATGGGGCAATGGGGGCAATGGGGGTAATGGGGGTAATGGGGGGTAATGGGGCAATGGGGGGCAATGGGTTCCCATTGACTTCAATGGGCCCAGGGTGCAGTTCGCCCTGGTGGCCACAAGGCGGCAGTGTCGCCATTGACTCCCATTGAGTCCCATTGACATCCATTGACTCCCATTGACCCCATTGACTCCCATTGAACCCCATTGACTCCCATTGAGTCCCATTGACCCCCATTGACTCCCATTGACTCCCATTGCCCCCCATTGCCCCATTGCCCCCCATTGCCCCCATTGCCCCCCATTGCCCCCATTGCCCCATTGCCCCCATTGCCCCCCATTGCCCCCATTGCCCCCATTGCCCCCCATTGCCCCATTGCCCCCCATTACCCCCATTGCCCCCCATTGCCCCATTGCCCCATTGCCCCCATTGCCCCATTGCCCCATTGCCCCCATTGCCCCATTGCCCCATTGCCCCCATTGCCCCCATTGCCCCATTGCCCCCATTACCCCCATTGCCCCCCATTGCCCCCCAGGCCCTAGGGGGGCTCCACTTTGTCCACGTGCGCCACTCGGGGCTCTACTTCGTGGCCACCACCAGGGCCGAGGCCTCCCCGTTCACCCTGCTCGAGTTCCTCAACAGGTACCCAAGGGGGCGTTTGGGGGCGTTTTGGGGTGTGTTTAGGGGCGTTTTGAGGGCGTTTGGGGGCGTTTGGGGCGTTTTTAGGTGTTTTGGGGCATTTTGGGGCTTTTTGGGGGCGTTTTTAGGCGTTTTGGGGCGATTTTAGGCGTTTTGGGGTGTTTTTAGGCGTTTGGGGGGTGTTTTTAGGCATTTAGGGGTGTTTTGGGGCGTTCTTAGGCATTTGGGGGCGTTTCTACGGTGTTTGGGGGCATATTTAGGTGTTTTGGGGGCGTTTTTAGGCGGTTTTTGGGTGTTTGGGGCGTTTTTAGGAGTGTTGGGGGCGTTTTTAGGCGTTTTTTGGGCGTTTGGGGCGTTTCTAGGCATTTTGGGGGCTTTTTAGGCGTTTTGGCGGCATTTGGAGCCATTTGGGGGGGGTTTGGGGTCTTTTGGGGCATTTTGCGAGTGTTTGCGGCCGTTTTGGTGGGCGTTTTGGAAGAGTTTTGGGCGTTTGGGGGAGTTTGGGGGCGTTTGGAGCCGTTTTGGGTCCGTTTTGGGCCATTTTGGGCCCGTTTGGGTCCGTTCCGTGTCCGTTCCCCCCCGCAGGTTGGTGGCGCTGCTGAGGGATTTCTGCGGGCCCCTGAGCGAGCAGAACCTGGGGGGGAACCTGGCGCTGGCGGCCGAGCTGCTGGAGGAGATGCTGGTGGGGGCGGGGCCACGCCGGGGGGGGCGGGGCCACGTCGGGGTGGGAGGGGCCACATCGGGGGCGGGACTGCATCGGGGGGCGGGGCCACGGGGCGGTGGGGGTGGGGGGTGGGGGCGGGGCCACTGGGCTGGGGCATCGGAGGGGGCGGGACCACATCGGGGGGGCGGGGCACATCGGGGAGGTTGGGGGCGTATAAAGGGGGTTTGGGGGCATTTAAAGGGGTTTTAGGGTGGTTTAAGGGGGTTTGGGGGCGTTTAAAGGGGTTTGGGGGCGTTTAAAGGGGTTTGGGGCCGTTTAAAGGGATTCGGGTCCATGTTTCCCTATGGGGGATGCTGGAGCCCCTCTTTGGGGTGCCCCCCATTACCCCCCCCAGGACTATGGGTACATCCAGAGCACGGCCCCCGAGCTCCTGCGCAGCCTCACCCAGAGCCCCCCCGTGAGCCCCCCCCCCTTCAGCCTCCTGGACCTGGGCTCCATTGGGCTGGTGAGGGCCATGGGGGGGCTCCCAGTGCACCCCAGTGCAGCCCAGTGCATCCCAATGCATCCCAGTGCATCCCAGTGCATCCCAGTGCATCCCAATGCACCCCAATTACCCCCCCAGTACATCCCAGTATGTCCCAGTATATCCCAGTCCTTTCCCAGTATCCACCAGTGCATCCCAGTGTACCCTGAGTGCCTCCCCATCCCATCCCCATCCCATCCCCATCCCCATTGATCCCCATTGATCCCATTGACCCCATTGATCCCATTGATCCCCATTGATCCCCATTGATCCCATTGATCCCATTGATCCCCATTGACCCCATTGATCCCATTGATCCCCATTGATCCCATTGATCCCCATTGATCCCATTGATCCCCATTGATCCCATTGATCCCATTGATCCCCATTGATCCCATTGATCCCATTGATCCCCATTGATCCCATTGCTCCCATTGATCCCCATTGACCCCATTGATCCCATTGATCCCCATTGATCCCCATTGATCCCATTGCTCCCATTGATCCCCATTGACCCCATTGATCCCATTGATCCCCATTGATCCCATTGATCCCCATTGATCCCATTGATCCCCATTGATCCCATTGATCCCATTGATCCCCATTGATCCCATTGATCCCATTGATCCCCATTGATCCCATTGCTCCCATTGATCCCCATTGACCCCATTGATCCCATTGATCCCCATTGATCCCATTGACCCCATTGATCCCATTGATCCCATTGCAGTTTGGGGCTGACACCCAACGTTCCAAGGTGGCTCCGGGCTCCGCTGCCACGAGGCCCCTGGGGGCACCCCGGGGGGAGCAGGTGAGTGCCCCCCCACACACCCCATAGCCGGTACCTCCCAGTGCGTCCCAGTGCATCCCAATGCACCCCAATGCAACCCAATGCATCCCCATTCCAATGCATCCCAATGCATCCCAATGCATCCCAGTGCTCCCAATGCATCCCAATGCATCCCAGTGCTCCCAGTGCATCCCAATGCAACCCAATGCACCCCAATGCAACCCAATGCATCCCCATCCCAATGCATCCCAATGCATCCCAATGCAGCCCAATGCAACCCAATGCATCCTAATGCAACCCAATGCATCCCAGTGCACCCCAGTGCATCCCAATGCATCCCAATGCACCCAATGCATCCCAATGCACCCTAATGCATCCCAGTGCATCCCAATCCCATCCCAATTCATCCCAATCCCATCCCAATGCACCCCAGTGCACCCCAATGCATCCTAATGCATCCCAATGCATCCCAATCCCATCCCAATGCATCCCAATGCAACCCAATCCCATCCCAATGCATCCCAATGCAACCCAATCCCATCCCAATGCATCCCAATGCATCCCAATCCCATCCCAATACATCCCAATGCATCCCAGTGCATCCCAATGCATCCCAATCCCATCCTAATGCATCCCAATGCATCCCAATCCCATCCCAATGCAGGATCACCCCTGACCCCGCCCCTTTTTATGTCCCCGCCCCCAGGGGGAGGAGCTCTTCGTCGACGTCCTCGAGCGCCTCACAGTGGTGCTGGGCTCCAACGTGGGTACCCCCCTTTAACCCCATATATGGGGGTGTCCCCCCCTTTTAACCCCCTATATGGGGGTGTCCCCCCTTTTAACCCCATATATGGGGGTGTCCCCCCCTTTTAACCCCCTATATGGGGGTGTCCCCCCTTTTAACCCCATATATGGGGGTGTCCCCCCCTTTTAACCCCCTATATGGGGGTGTCCCCCCTTTTAACCCCATATATGGGGGTGTCCCCCCCTTTTAACCCCCTATATGGGGGTGTCCCCCCTTTTAACCCCATATATGGGGGTGTCCCCCCTTTTAACCCCATATATGGGGGTCCCCCCCTTTTAACCCCATATATGGGGGTGTCCCCCACTTTTAACGCCATATATGGGGTTAAAAGACCCTATTTAGGGGGTTTTCACCCCAATTTTGCTGCCCCCCCCAGGGTACCCCCCTAAAGGTGGATGTGCAGGGGGAGATGCGCCTCAAGTGCTACATCCCCAACTGCAGAGGTGAGAATGGGTGCCCCCCCCCAGCACCCATGGGTGCCCCCCCCATCATCACCTATGGGTACCCCCCCCATCATCACCTATGGGTGCCCCCCCACCCACAGCACCCATGGGTGCCCCCATTGACCCCCATTGACCCCCATTGCCCCCCCCCCAGAGCTGCGCCTTGGCCTGAGTGAGGAATTCTGCGTGGGAAAAGCAGAGTTAAGGGGTGAGACCCCCCCCATTGACCCCCATTGATCCCCATTGACACCCATTGATCCCCATTGACACCCATTGATCCCCATTAACCCCCATTGATACCCCTCTACCCCAATTGACCCCATTGCCCCTATTGATCCGATTGACCCCCATTACCCCCCATTGACACTATTGAACCCCGTTGACCCCCATTGACCCCATTGATCGCCATTGACCCCCCCACTCCCCCCATTGACCCGTTTGACACCCATTACTCCCCATTGACCCCCATACCCCCATAACCCCCATTGACCCCCATACCCCCCATAGCCCCCATTCCCCCATACCCCAATACCCCCGATACCCCCCATACCCCTCTTACCCCCCATACCCCCCATACCCCCCATACCCCCCATACACCCCATAGCCCCCATAGCCCCCATCCCCCATAGCCCCCATACCCCCCATAGCCCCTATACCCCCCATAGCCCCCATACCCCCCCATAGCCCCCATAGCCCCCATACCCCCCATACCCCCCATACCCCCCATAGACCCCATAGCCCCCATATCCCCCATACCCCCCATACCCCCCATAGCCCCCATACCCCCCCATACCCCCCATAGACCCCATAGCACCCATACCCCCCCTCCCTCCAGGCTATGGCACCCAGGTCCGTGTGGACGATGTCTCCTTCCACCCCTGCGTTAACCTGGAGGAGTTCGAGGCCCAACGGGTGCTGAGGGTGACCCCCCCCCAGGGCGAGGTAACCCCCCCCCCATTGGGCTCCTGTATGGTACAGTCCAATAGGGCCCTATAGGGAGGGCTCATCCCATTGGGAGCCTATGGGGAGGGCTCATCCCATTCATAGCCTATATGGGGGGGGTCACCCCATTACAGCCCTATAGAGGTGGGACATCCCATTGGGAGCCTATATGGGGGGGGTCACCCCATTACAGCCCTATAGATGTAGGACATCCCATTGGGAGCTTATATGGGGGGGGTCACCCCATTAGAGCCCTATAGAGGTGGGACATCCTATTGGGAGCCTATATGGGGGGGGTCACCCCATTTAGCCCTATAGGACCCCATTATTGCCCCCCACCCCATAGGTGACCCTAATGCGGTACCAGCTCCTGGATGATGTCCCCACACCGCTGCCCTTCCGCCTGTACCCCCATATGGAATGGGACCCTATGGGGAGGTAAGGGGGGGACCCCCATTCTGACCATATATGGGGTGGTCACCCCATTCTAACCCTATATGGGGGGGTTCACCCCTATTCTGACCCCTATATGGGGGGGTTCACCCCATTCTAACCCTATATGGGGGGGTTCACCCCCATTCTAACCCTATATTGGTGTCCCCATAGGCTCCGGCTGCACCTAAAGCTCCGCTGCGACCTCCCCCCTAATAGGTAGGTGATGGGGGGCGTGGCTATAGGGGGGGCGTGGTTAAGGGAGGGGCGGGGTCAGCGGGAGGGGGCGTAGCCAATGGGTGTGAATGGGAGGGGGCGGGCTCATGGAGCAGTCAGGGAGTGGGGGGGGTTAGGGGCGTGACCAATGGGGTTTGGGGGCGTGGCCAATGGGGTGAGTGGGCGGGGCTTAACCCTCTCGCCCCTCCCCTTTGCAGCCACGCCATTAACATCCACCTGGAGCTGCCCATTCCCAAGGGGGTGACCAGGTGGGTGCTACCATTGGGGGGGGGGTTCTATGGGGTGCCCCCCCTCATTGTAACCCCATTGCGCCCCATTGTAACCCTATTATAACCCCCATTATAACCCCATTATAACCCATTATAACCCCATTATAACCCATTATAACCCCATTATAACCCATTATACCCCCATTGCCCCCCATAGCGTGGCGCAGGAGCTGAGCAGCCCCGACCAGAGGGCTGAGGCCCCCCCCGGTTCCCATTGCATCCAATGGGACATCCCCAAGTGTCGGGGGGGGGCACAAGTGGGCGCCATCTTTAAGGTAAGGGGGCAGGGGGGGCACCCATGGGTGCTTGGGTGTGGGGGGGTGAACCCCATTGGGGGTGATGGGGAGGGCACGTGTTCTATATGGACCCTATGTCACTCCCATGTCCCTCCCATGTCCATCCCATGTCCATCCCATCCCCATCCCATCTCCATCCCGTGTCCCTCCCATGTCCCTGCCGTGTCAATCCCGTGTCCCTCCCATGACGTTCCCATGTCAATCCCGTCTCCATCCCATGTCCCTCCCATCTCAATCCCATGACGTTCCCATGTTCATCCCATGTCCATCCCATGACGTTCCCATGTCCCTCCCATGTCCCTCCCGTGTCCCCCCAGCTCTGGTCCCCGCTCCCGCTCCGTGCCCTGGGTCCCGTTGCCGCCCGCTTCGAGCTCCCGGCCCAATCCTGCTCGGGGCTGAGGCTCCGCTTCCTGCGCCTGGCTGAGGGGGCGGGGCCAGGGGCGGGGCGGGGCTCCTCGGCCCCGCCCCCTCCCCGCTGGCTGCGTTACGTCACCCACAGCGACTCCTACGTCATGAGAATGGAAGATCCCCCCCCACCCCCCCCATTGACAGCCATTGAGCCCCATTGACACCCCATTGGGACCCATTGATACCCATTGACACCCCATTGATGCCCATTGGGACCCATTGACAGCCATTGATCCCCATTGATACCCCATTGACACCCATTGACACCCATTGGGACCCATTGATACCAATTGACTCCCATTGATTCCCATTGATCTCCATTGATACCAAATGACTCCCATTGACAACTATTGAGCTCCATTGATACCACTGATTCCCATTGACACCAACTGACTCCCATTGATACCAATTCCCATCGACCTCCATTGATACCAATTGACTCCCACTGAGTTCCATTGATTCCCATCGACCTCCATTGACACCGACTCCCGTTGAGCTCCATTGATTCCCATTGACAACCATTGATACCAGTTGACTCCCATTGCCCCCCCCAACCTATTGACCCCAATATCAATGTCTCCCCCTTACTTTACCCCCATCCCCCAATAAAGCCTCTCAAAACACCTCCTTGTGTCCGTTGATTGATTCCTATCGACCTCCATTGATACCAGCTGACTCCCATTGAGCTCCATTGATACCAATTGACTCCCATTGACCTCCATTGATCTCCATTGATACCAATTGACTCCCATTGAGCTCCATTGATTCCCATTGATCTCCATTGATACCAATTGACTCCCATTGATCTCCATTGATACCAACTGACTCGCATTGACAACCACTGATTCTCATTGATCTCCATTGATACCAATTGACTCCCATTGACAACCATTGATTCCCATTGACCTCCATTGATACCCATTGAGCTCCATTGATTCCCATTGATCTCCATTGATACCAATTGACTCCCATTGACATCCATTGAGCTCCATTGATACCAATTGACTCCCATTGACCTCCATTGATACCAATTGACTCCCATTGATCTCCATTGACACCATTGATTCCCATCCCCCCCCCCATCACCGCTCCATCCCAATACCCACCAATGGCTCCCACACCTTGGGGGCCACCCCCCCATAGGCCCGGTAGCGATGGTTGAGGCGGGCCCGGCCATGGAGCCCATAGCGGGTGCTGAGGGCCCCTTGGGGGGCCGGCGCCCCAAAGAGCACCCGGCGGGCCCGGGCCAGCACCAGGGCCATGGCACAGAGGGCACAGGGCTCCCGGGTCAGGATCACGTCCCAGCCCTGGCACAGGTAACCCCCGGCCCCATTGAACCCATTGAGCCCATTACCCCCATTGCCCCCATTGACCCCATTACCCCCATTGCCCTCATTGCCCCTATTCTCCCCATTGCCCCCATTACCCACATTGACCCTATTACCCCCATTGTGCCCATTACCCCCATTGTCCCCATTACCCCCATTGACCCCATTACCCCCACTGTGCCCATTACCCCCATTGCCCTCATTGCCCCCATTGACTCCACTGTCCCCATTACCCCCATTGCCCCTATTCTCCCCATTGCCCCCATTACCTCCATGGACCCCATTCCCCCCACTGTCCCCATTACCCCCATAGACCCCATTACCCCTATTCCCCCTATTCTCCCCATTGTCCCCATTCCCCTCATTGACCCCATTACCCCCATTCCCCCTATTGACCCCATTACCCCCATTGACCCCATTCCCCCCATCCCCCCTCCGGCACCGCGCCACCTCCTCCAAGCACCTCATAGCAGCGTGCCCCAAGGGGTGCCCCCCATTCCTCCCATCCCCCACGGCCACCACCACCCTCCCAGTATCGGGGTCCAGCACCGCCCCCCCGGCCGGTACCATCCCAACGCGGACCCCATCCATGGCCGCCGCCACGGCCGCCTCCATGGCCCCATGGACGGCGGGCAGCTCCATTGGCGTCAATGGGGGGGGGTGACGGGGGGTGCAGGGCAATGGGGGGGGCGCCCCACGGAGGACCCACGGCCAAAGGAGCTCCCCCCCCATGGCCAGCAGGGCCGCGGTCTCCGGGCCCGGTTGTGGGGCGCGGGCGGGGACCAGGACGCGGAAAGGGGGGCCCAGGAGGTGGGGGGAGATGGAAGGGCCCAAGAGGACGTGGAGGGGGGGGAGCGGGGGGGAGGTGACGTCATCGGTGACGTCATCGGTGACGGCGCTGGTGCCCTTGGTGACAATGGAGGGGTCATTGGTGACGTCATTGGTGACGTCATCAGGGATGGCATCGGTGGCTCCGTCTCCTGTTTTGGGGTCAACATTGAAAGTGACCCCCATTGCCTCCCCATCCCCATTATCCCCTATTACCCCATTCCCCCCCATTATCCCCTATTACCCCCCATTCCCCCATTATACCCTATTACCCCATTCCCCCCTGTATCCTCTATTAACCCCATTATCTTCTATTACCCCCATTTATCCCATTACCCCCCACTCCCTCCATTATCCCCTATTACCCCATTCCCCCCATTAACCCCTTTGACCCCCATTGCCCCCCATTACCCCATTATCCTCTATTACCCCATTACCCCCATTATCCCCATTACCCCCCATTACCCCCATTACCCCCACATTACCCCATTACCCCCATTACCCCTATTACCCCCATTATCCCCATTACCCCCATTCCCCCATTCCCCCCATTATCCCCATTATCCCCCATTATCCCCATTCCCCCCATTATCCATTATCCCCCATTACATCCATTATCCCCAATTATCCCCATTACCCCCCATTACCCCCCCTTTACCCTGGGGCTGCCCCCACTCCGCGGGGGGGGGCACGTCCTCCTCCAGCAGCAGCAGCACGGCCGGGGCTCTTCCGGGACCCCCCCCCCGCATCCTCTTCACGTGACCCAGCCCCGGCAGGGGGCGGGACCTCCGCAGCTCCAATAGGAGGCGCTCTGCATCCCGTGACGTCACCAGCGGCGCCGCCAGCGCGGGGAGGAGCCGCACGGGCCCCGCCCCTTCCCAAGGCACAGCCCAAGGGGGCGGAGCCTCCGAGGCCATTGGAGGGGCTATGGGGGGGAATGGGGGTGAATGGGGGCAATGGGGGGTAATAGGGAATAATGGGGGGTAATGGGAGAATGGGGGGTAAGGGGGGAATGGGGGTCAATGATGGGGAATGGGGGCAATGGGGGGTAATAGGGAATAGTGGGGGGCAATGGGGGGAATGGGGAGGAATGGGGGGCAATGCAGTAATGGGGGTAATAGGCAATAATGGGGGGCAATGGGGGTAATGGTGGTGAAAGGGGCAATGGGGGTCAATGGCGGCCAATAGGAGCGGATACGGGGGGAGCCCCATAATTTCCCCCTATCGGGACCGCCTCTTAGAGAACCCCCCATAGGGACACCCCCCATAGGGATTCCCTATAGGACCCCCCCATAGAGACCCTTATGGGGGCCCCCATAGGGATCCCCGCCCATAGGAGCCCCCTTCACGTGACCCCGGCCCCCTTCCCACGTGACTCCCGCTCACCCGCTGCTGCTGCCGCCGCCACAGCCTTCAGCCGGAACCGGAAGTGAAGGGGCGGGGCCTCGTGGGAGGCGGGGAGGGGGAAGCGGTGAGATTGAGACCGCGTTGGAGGGCGCCCCCTGGCGGTCGGGAGGAGCGGAGGCAGGAGGGGAGCCAATAGGATGGAATAGGGCACCAGTATGGACCAGTTTGTGCCATTATGAACCATTATGGAGGCACAGGACTCCAGTATAGGCCAGTTCACACCAGTATGCGACTAGTATAGACCAGTAGGGCACCAGCATAAACCAGTTTGTGTCATTAGGTACCATTATGGGGGAGCAGGACATCAGTCTGGACCAGTTCACACCAGCATGGGACCAGTATAGGCCATTAGGGCACCAGTATGGACCAGTTTGTGCCATTAGGGACGAGTATGGAGGCGCAGGACTCCAGCATAGACCAGTTCACACCAGTATGGGACCAGTATAGACCAGTAGGGCACCAGTTTGAACCAGTTTGTGCCATTAGGGACCATTATGGAGGGGCAGGACGTCAGTATATACCAGTATAGACCAGTATGGCACCAGTTAATACCAGTAGGTGCCATTGGGGATCAGTATGGAGGCGCAGGACACCAGTATGGAGGCGCAGGACACTAGTATGTACCAGTACAGACCAGTATAAACCAGTATAGACCAGTATGGACCAGTTTAAGCCAGTGTGGGCCAGTATAAACCAGTATAGACCAGTATAAACCGTTATAAACCAGTATAGACTGGTTTACACCAGTTCCCACCAGTACATTGAGCCCCCCCCAAACCATTCATTCATTCATTCACCCACTCCATTCAACCCCACCGCAAGCCCCGCCCCCTTGTCCCCCTCAGCCAATCAGAAGCCCCCTCCCCTCTCCGCTCGCCTCCAAAGCCCGAGGGCTCCGCTGGGTCCTAGCGCCCGGCGCTCGCTGAGCCTGAGCCCATTGGGACCCCCCAAAACCCACCCATAGCCCCCCAAAACCCCCCCCATAACCCCCCAAAACCCCCCCAAACCCCCCCCATAGCCCGACCCCGCCCCCCCATTCCCAAACCTCCGTCATCTCCACTCGCTTTATTCCCACAATAAGATTTCTATGCAAAATACTCTCATCTCCCCCTCCCCCCCCCCAAACCACCCCGAAAGGGGGGGGGGAGGGGGGGGGTTTCAATGGGGGGGACCCCCCCCTTTCCCCTTTAATAAGTGGGGGCACTCAACCCCCCCCTCCCCCCCAGCCCCATAGCACAAAGAGGGCAGGGTTAAAGAGGGGGGGGTACCCCCCCCCCCAACGTACAAATATAGAGCTTATATGTACAAAAGTCCAAAGTGGGGGGGGGGGGACACCCCTAGATATGGAGGGGGGGGAGGGGGGGGGAGAGACACCCCCAACCCCACCCCCCCCCTTTCTTTTTGCTTATGGGGTGTCCCACCTCCCCCCCCCCCCCATTGTGTGCATGCAGCTGCCCCTCTATGGGGTGAGGAAGGGGCTGAGCTGATGGGGTGGGGGGGGTCTTAAAGGGGCAATGCCGTTTAAAGGCGGTCCCGGGCTGGGACCCAGATGTAGGGGCCCGAGAGCTCCTCGATGACGCGCTTCACCTTGTGGTAGATCTCCTCGAAGCTGTCGCCCTCCACCATGGCTATGGGGCGGGGGGGGGGGTAAAGTGTGGGGCAGGGGTTAATGGGGGGGGGACACATAGACATTGTATAGATATAACCCTCCCCACTATGGGGTTTGCAGGGGGGGGTTGTGGGGCTATGGGGGTTCCCTAGGGGTCAATGGGGGGGTAGTTATGGGGCAGGGGGGGGTGGTTATGGGTCTATGGGGGGGGTGTCTATGGGTCTATGGGTGGTGTCTATTGGTCTATAGGGGGTATCTGTGGGGCTATCGGGGGTGTCTATAGGTCAATGGGGGGGTGGTTATGGGGCAGGGGGGGTTTTCATGGGTCAATGGGGGGTATGTATGGGTCTATGGGGGGTCTCTATGGGTCTATAAGGGGTGTCTATAGGTCAGTGGGGGGGTATTTATGGGGGCAGGGCGTGTATTTATGGGTCAATCGAGGGGTAGTTATGGGGCAGGGGGGTGCTTATGGGTCTATGGGGGCTGTCTATGTGTCTAGGGAGGTCCCTAGGGAGGTATCTATGGGGCATGGGGGACACATATGGGTCTATGGGGGGTCCCTATGGGTCTATGGGGGGTATCTATGGGGTCAGGGGGTGATCTCTATGGGTCTATGGGGGTGTCTATGGGTCAAAGGGGGGGTATTTATGGGGCAGGGCGTGTATTTATGGGTCTATGGGGGGTGTCTATGGGTCTAGGGAGGTCCCTATGGGGGTATCTATGGGGCAGAGGGGTGTCTCTGGGGTCTCTATGGGTCTCTCTATGGCTCTATAGGGAGTATCTATGGGGCAGGGAGGTATCTATTGGTCTATAGGGATTATCTATGGGTCTATGGGGGTCTCTATGGGGCAGGGGGGGTCCCCACCAGAGAAGCACTCGGTGAACTCCTGCTCCAGTTTGGTGGCTCGGTCGAACGCCTTCCGGGCCTGCTCCTCCGTCACCCGCTTGCTGATCTCCCTTATATGGGCATGGAGGGGGCGGGGTCTCTACAGGCCACGCCCCCTTTGGCACAAGCCCCGCCCCCCATTGGCGCTCCAGCACCACGAGGCTGCGTCCCCCCCCCTTCCGTTGGCCCCTTTATAGAAGGGGAGAGGCTGCGCTAAGGCCACGCCCACAGAGCGAGGCCACGCCCCCTTCATGCCCATTTATGGACTGAGTCCCCTGCCTCTACCCTCAAGCCCCGCCCCTTCCCCATAAGCTCCACCCCCTCCATGCCCTTTTAAGGCTCTTCCCAATCCCTCTATTATCAAGCTCTGCCCCTCTATGCCCATTTCAGGAGCCATCCCTGCTATCAATGAAGCCCCGCCCCTTCTCCATAAGCTCCACCCCCTCCATACCCATTTAAGGCAAACTCCCATGCCCTCAATGATCAAGCTCCGCCCCTTCCCCATAAGCCACGCCCCCTTTATACCCATTTAAGGACCCTCCCCTACCCTCCACGTGACCCCACCCCCTTTATGCCCACTTAAAGCACCCCCCCCGCCCTCCACGTGACCCCACCCCCCCAATGCCCATATAAGGCGTAGCCCCGCCCCTCACAGGACGTTCTCCAATGACTTGGGCCGGATGAAGATGGCGATTGGGTGCAGCTGCGCCGCCTGCAGGCGCCGCACAGCATTGGCCGACACGTCCAGGATGCAGTGCTTGCCCTGCCCCGCCCCCAGAGCACACGTCACCGATGACGTCATAGACACGCCCTTATAAGGCACAACCACGCCCCCTCCCCGAACTCCCCCCTCCCCTCTGTCCTCCGATGACCCCCAATGGGACCCCCAATGAGCCACTAAGCTGCCCCCCCATTAACTCCTATGACCCCCATGTCCCCCCATTGCCCCCGATTACCCCACATTGACCCCCATTGCCCCCATAACCCCCATTGATCCCCATTGCCGCAATTACCCCATTAATCCCCATTACCCCCATTGACCCCCATTACCTTCCCACCCCCCCATTGACCCCCACTACCCCTCCATTGACCCCCATTACCCCCCATTGACCACCATTAACTCCCCACTATCCCCATTGACCCCCCATTACCCCCCATTACCCCCCATTGCCCCCCCCATTGCCAATAGAGACACTGCCACCTTGTGGCCACCAGGCGAACAGCACCCTGCGCCCATTGAAGTCAATGGGACTCAATGGCGACACTGCCGCCTTGTGGCCACCAAAGCGAACAGCACCCTGCGCACATTGAAATCAATGGGACTCAATGGCGACACTGCCACCTTGTGGCCACCAGGGGAACAGCACCCTGCGCCCATTGAAGTCAATGGGACTCAATGGCGACACTGCCACCTTGTGGCCACCAAAGCGAACAGCACCCTGCGCCCATTGAAGTCAATGGGACTCAATGGCGACACTGCCACCTTGTGGCCACCAGGGGAACAGCACCCTGCTCCCATTGAAGTCAATGGGACCCAATGGCGACACTGCCACCTTGTGGCCACTAGGGAGAACAGCACCCTGCGCCCATTGAAGTCAATGGGATTCAATGGCGACACTGCCACCTTGTGGCCACCAAAGCGAACAGCACCCTGCTCCCATTGTAGTCAATGGGACTCAATGGCGACACTGCCGCCTTGTGGCCACTAGGGCGAACAGCACCCTGCTCCCATTGAAGTCAATGGGACTCAATGGCGACACTGCCGCCTTGTGGCCACTAGGGTGAACAGCACCCTGCGCCCATTGAAGTCAATGGGACTCAATGGCGACACTGCCACCTTGTGGCCACTAAGGCGAACAGCACCCTGCGCCCATTGAAGTCAATGGGACTCAATGGCGACACTGCCGCCTTGTGGCCACCAGGGAGAACAGCACCCTGCGCCCATTGAAGTCAATTGGACCCCATTACCAACAGCGACACTGCCACCTTGTGGCCATCAAAGCGAACAGCACCCTGCGCCCATTGAAATCAATGGGATTCAATAGCGACACTGCCACCTTGTGGCCACTAAGGCGAACAGCACCCTGCGCCCATTGAAGTCAATGGGACTCAATGGCGACACTGCCACCTTGTGGCCACTAAGGCGAACAGCACCCTGCGCCCATTGAAGTCAATGGGATTCAATGGCGACACTGCCGCCTTGTGGCCACTTAAGGCGAACAGCACCCTGCGCCCATTGAAGTCAATGGGACTCAATGGCGACACTGCCACCTTGTGGCCACTAAGGCGAACAGCACCCTGCGCCCATTGAAGTCAATGGGACTCAATGGCGACACTGCCACCTTGTGGCCACTAAGGCGAACAGCACCCTGCTCCCATTGAAATCAATGGCGACACTGCCGCCTTGTGGCCACTAAGGCGAACAGCACCCTGCGCCCATTGAAGTCAATGGGACTCAATGGCGACACTGCCACCTTGTGGCCACTAAGGCGAACAGCACCCTGCGCCCATTGAAATCAGTGGGATCAATGGCGACACTGCCGCCTTGTGGCCACTAAGGCGAACAGCACCCTGCGCCCATTGAAGTCAATGGGACTCAATGGCGACACTGCCACCTTGTGGCCACCAAAGCGAACAGCACCCTGCGCCCATTGAAGTCAATGGGATTCAATGGCGACACTGCCACCTTGTGGCCACCAAGGCGAACAGCACCCTGCGCCCATTGAAATCAGTGGGATTCAATAGCGACACTGCCACCTTGTGGCCACTAAGGCAAACAGCACCCTGCGCCCATTGAAGTCAATGGGACTCAATGGCGACACTGCCGCCTTGTGGCCACTAAGGCGAATAGCACCGTGCTCCCATTGAAGTCAATGGGACTCAATGGCGACACTGCCGCCTTGTGGCCACTAGGAAGAACAGCACCCTGCGCCCATTGAATTCAGTGGGATTCAATAGCGACACTGCCACCTTGTGGCCACTAAGGCGAACAGCACCCTGCGCCCATTGAAGTGAATTGGACCCCATTACCAACAGCGACACTGCCACCTTGTGGCCACCAAGGCGAACAGCACCATGCGCCCATTGAAATCAATGGGACTCAATGGCGACACTGCCACCTTGTGGCCACTAAGGCGAACAGCACCCTGCGCCCATTGAAGTCAATGGGACTCAATGGCGACACTGCCGCCTTGTGGCCACCAAGGCGAACAGCACCCTGCGCCCACTGAAATCAATGGGACTCAATGGCGACACTGCCACCTTGTGGCCACGAGGGGAACAGCACCCTGCGCCCATTGACCTCAATGGGAGGTCCCCATTGCCCCATAGCGCCCCATAGGCACCTGCTCGGCCACCTCCCGCACGGACTGCACGCTGGTCCCATAGAGGTGGCTGTTGTACTGGCCGGCCTCGATGAACTTGTGGCCTTGGATGTCCTTCTCCATGCGCTCGCGGGAGGCCACAAAGTGGTAGTCACGGCCGTCGACCTCGTAGTCCCGCTTGGGCCGCGTCGTGTCTGGGGTAGAGGTTGGGGCGTCCATTGGGGTGTAGGGGGGATAGGGGGTATGGGGTGTATGGGGTATGGGGTGTATGGGGTGTATGGGGTGTATGGGGTATAGGGTGTATGGGGTATGGGGTATATGGGGTATATGGGGTATATGGGGTATATGGGGTATGGGGTATATGGGGTGTATGGTGTATGGGGTATATGGGGTATATGGGGTCTATGGGGTATATGGGGTATATATGGGGTATATGGGGGATATGGGGTATACGGGGTATATGGGGTATGGGGTATATGGGGTGTATGGGGTATATGGGGTATATGGGGTACGGGATATGGGGTGTATGGGGCATATTGGATATGAAGTAAGGGATATGGGATATCCACTTGTCTGGGCACTCGGATAGGAGATCATCATTGACGTGCTCCATACCCCATATGCCCCCCATACACCCCATATACCCCCATACACCCCATATACCCCCCATATCACACCCCCATACGCCCCACACACACCCATACACCCCATACCCCATACACGTGTCCCCCCATACATATCATACATCCCTATGGATGCGAGCATCACTCACGGGGGACGCAGGACCCGAACTTGTCTGGGAACTCGGACAGGAGATCATCATTGACCCGGTCCTTGGTGGGCCCCAGGATGATGATGGGGCGGGCGTAATGCACTGCAATGGGGCGGAGGTGGGGGGGTTATGGGGGTGCGGGGGGGGGCACCCCCATTGTTTATATGGGGCTCGCAGGGCTATGGAGCACAAACACCCCCCCCCCCATAGGGGTCAATGGTACCTTCCATCTGCGTCACTGTCTCGTAGCTCAGTACGGCATCTGTGGGGGAAGGGGGTAATGGGGGTTGATGTACTGAATGGGGAGTAATGGGGGGTAACGGGGGTTAATGGGGGGTAATGGGGGTCAATGGGGGGTCAATGGGGGGTAATGGAGGAATCAATGGGGGTTAATGGGGGGTCTATGGGGGGTCAATGGGGGATGCCATAGGGGTCGGTGAGGGGGGTAATGAGGGAATCAATGGGGGAATCAATGGGGGGCTCCATGGGGGTTCATGGGGGGGTCAATGGGGGAGATGAATCGTGGCCAATGTCAATCAGAGAGAGTAATCGGGAGGTCAATGGGAGGGTCGATGGGAGTCAATGGGAATAATGGGGGGATCAATGGGGGCTAATGGGGGTCAATGGGGGGTCACATGGGGGTTAATGGGAGGGTCCATGGGGGTGATGGGGGAGACATGCGATCGGGTCTGAGGGGGGTCAATGGGGGGAGCCAAAGTGTAATGGGGCTCAATGGGGGGATAATGAGGAGGGAAATGCTAATGATGGATCAATGGGGGAGGTGTCCATGGGGGTTAATGAGGGTGATCATGCCATGGGGGGTGGTAGATCAATGGGGGGTGATGTCTATGGGGGGATCAATGGGGGGTAATGTCTATGGGGGATCAATGGGGGATCAATGGGGGGGTCAATGGGAATTAATGCAGCACCCACCTTGTGAGCCTGATCCAGGGACCCGATCCTGTGGGGGGCAAAGAGGGGGGCAATAAGAGAGGAGAGGGGGGGTTATGGGGGGCAATGTGGGGAGGGGGGGCACACAATGGGGGAGGGGGGGGGTTTGGGGGTCCCTACCTTGGCCTTGAGGCGCGTCCATTCTCGTCGCTCCACCCTGGGCCGATAGAGAGAGGGGTGACCCCAGTGCCCCCCCCATTGCCCCCACTGGGTCCCATTGACCTCCCATTGGTTCCCATTACCCCCATTGACCCCATTGCCCCCCATTGGTTCCCATTACGCCCATTGATCCCCATTGCCCCCATTGAGCCCCATTGATCCTATTGGCTCCCATTTCTCCCATTGCCCCCTATTACCACCCATTACCCCCATTGCCCAAATTACCCCCATTGACTCCCATTAACCCCATTGAGCCCCGTTAGCCCCATTACCCCCCATTGAGCCCCATTGCCTCCCCATTACCCCCATTGTCTCCCATTACCCCCCATTGGTTCCCATTACCCCCCATTGGCAACAGCGACACTGCCACCCGGTGGCCACCAAGGCGAACAGCACCCTGCGCCCATTGAAATCAATGGGACTCAAGGGCGACACTGCCACCTTGTGGCCACCAGGGCGAACAGCACCCTGCGCCCATTGAAATCAATGGGACTCAATGGCGACACTGCCGCCTTGTGGCCACCAAGGAGAACAGCACCCTGCTCCCATTGAAATCAATGGGACTCAATGGCGACACTGCCGCCTTGTGGCCACTAAGGCGAACAGCACTCTGCGCCCATTGAACTCAATGGGACTCAATGGCGACACTGCCACCTTGTGGCCCCTAAGGAGAACAGCACCCTGCTCCCATTAAAGTCAATGGGACTCAATGGCGACACTGCCACCTTGTGGCCAACCAAGGCGAACAGCACCCTGCGCCCATTGACGTCAATGGCGACACTGCCGCTTTGTGGCCACCAGTGCGAACAGCACCCTGCGCCCATTGAACTCAATGGGACTCAACAGCGACACTGCCACCTTGTGGCCATTAGGGCGAACAACACCCTTTGCCCGTTGAAGTCAATGGGACTCAATGGCGACACTGCCGCCTTGTGGCTACTAAGGCGAACAGCACCCTTTGCCCATTGAAGTCAATGGGACTCAATGGCGACACTGCCGCCTTGTGGCCACTAGGGAGAACAGCACCCTGCGCCCTTTTAACTCAATGGGACTCAACAGCGACACTGCCACCTTGTGGCCATTAGGGCGAACAGCACCCTGCGCCCATTGAAGTCAATGGGACTCAACAGCGACACTGCCACCTTGTGGCCACCAAGGCGAACAGCACCCTGCGCCCATTGAAGTCAATGGCGACACTGCCGCCTTGTGGCCACCAAGGGAACAGCACCCTGCGCCCATTGAAATCAATGGCGACACTGCCGCCTTGTGGCCACCAAGGCGAACAGCACCCTGCGCCCATTGAAGTCAATGGGACTCAATGGCGACACTGCCGCCTTGTGGCCACTAAGGCGAACAGCACCCTGCGCCCATTGAAGTCAATGGGACTCAATGGCGACACTGCCGCCTTGTGGCCACTAAGGCGAACAGCACCCTGCGCCCATTGAAGTCAATGGGACTCAATAGCGACACTGCCACCTTGTGGCCACCAAGGCGAACAGCACCCTGCGCCCATTGAAGTCAATGGGACTCAATGGCGACACTGCCGCCTTGTGGCCACCAAGGCGAACAGCACCCTGCGCCCATTGAAGTCAATGGGACTCAATGGCGACACTGCCACCTTGTGGCCACTAAGGCGAACAGCACCCTGCGCCCATTGAAGTCAATGGGACTCAATGGCGACACTGCCGCCTTGTGGCCACTAAGGCGAACAGCACCCTGCGCCCATTGAAGTCAATGGGACTCAATGGCGACACTGCCGCCTTGTGGCCACGAGGGGAACAGCACCCTGCGCCCATTGAAGTCAATGGGACTCAACAGCGACACTGCCACCTTGTGGCCACTAAGGCGAACAGCACCCTGCGCCCATTGAAGTCAATGGGACTCAATAGCGACACTGCCACCTTGTGGCCACCAAGGCGAACAGCACCCTGCTCCCATTGAAGTCAATGGGACTCAACAGCGACACTGCCACCTTGTGGCCACTAAGGCGAACAGCACCCTGCGCCCATTGAAGTCAATGGGACTCAATGGCGACACTGCCGCCTTGTGGCCACTAAGGCGAACAGCACCCTGCGCCCATTGAAGTCAATGGGACTCAATGGCGACACTGCCACCTTGTGGCCACCAGGGCGAACAGCACCCTTTGCCCATTGAAGTCAATGGGACCCCATTGCCCCCCATTCACCGTCTCTTGCTGGGCACGAAGCCGAGCTGGGGGGGCTGCCCGGGGGGGTGCACGGCCCTCGCCTGCCACCACTCCTCATCGGACGCATCCAGGACGTGGAGGACGTCCCCGAAGCGGAAGCTCAGAGCCTGGCTCAGGAACCCGCAGTCCTTGGCCTTGTCGTAGTCAAAGAGGGCCCTGGGGGGGGGAGAGACAGCCCATAATAACCCATAGCCATAGCCCATAATACCCCATATATCCCAGACATCCCATAATAACCCATCCATCCCATAATACCCCATACATCGCATAATACCCCATACATCCCACACATCCCATAATACCCATTACACCCCATAATACCCTCTCCATCCCATAATATACCCCATCGAGTAATATCCCCCCATCCCATAATACCACACACCCTGTCTCCCATAACAAACCCATACATCCCATAATACCCCCCAACCCGTATCCCATAACAACCCATGCATCCCATAATAGCCTATACCACTTCTCCCATAGCAACCAATCCACCCCATAACACCCCATCTCCCATAGCAACCCCTCCATCCCATAACACCCCATCTCCCATAGCAACCCCTCCATCCCATAATACCCATCTCCCATAGCAACCCCTCCATCCCATAACACCCATCTCCCATAGCAACCCCTCCATCCCATAATACCCATCTCCCATAGCAACCCCTCCATCCCATAATACCCATCCCCATAGCAATCCCTCCATCCCATAATACCCATCTCCCATAGCAACCCATACACCCCATAACACCCCATCTCCCATAGCAACCCCTCCATCCCATAGCACCCCGTTTCCCATAGCAACCCCTCCATCCCATAATACCCCCCCCGCCCCACACCGGACGTAGAAGCCCCTCTTGGGGTCGCTCCGCAGGGAGGCGCTGCCGGAGCCGAGGCTGCTCCCCAGGAGCTGCTCCCGGAGGTCGTGGATCTTGGCCTCGAAGCGCCCGTACTCTGTGGGGCAGAGCCATAGGGGGATGTGTGGGGCAGAGCCATAGGGGGATGTGTGGGGCTGAGCCATAGAGGGATGTGTGGGGCTGAGCCATAGGGGGATGTGTGGGGCTGAGCCATAGAGGGATGTGTGGGGCTGAGCCATAGAGGGATGTGTGGGGCTGAGCCATAGGGGGATGTGTGGGGCAGAGCCATAGTGGGATGTGTGGGGCAGAGCCATAGGGGGATGTGTGGGGCAGAGCCATAGGCAGTGATGTGTGGGTCAGCCCCATAGGCAGTGATGTGTGGGTCAGCCCCATAGGCAGTGATGTGTGGGTCAGCCCCATAGGCAGGTATATGTGGGTCAGCCCCATAGGCAGGTACATGTGGGTCAGCCCCATAGGCAGGTATATGTAGAGCAGCCCCATAGGCAGTGATGTGCGGTTCAGCCCCATGGGCAGTGATGTGCGGTTCAGCCCCATAGGCAGTGATGTGTGGGTCAGCCCCATAGCAGTGATGTGTGGGGCAGCCCCATAGCAGGTACATGCGGTTCAGCCCCATAGCAGTGATGTGTGGGGCAGCCCCATAGGCAGTGATGTGTGGGTCAGCCCCATAGCAGGTACGTGTGGGGCAGCCCCACAGCGCCCTCACCCTCGGGTCTGTACTGGGCGATGATGGTCACGCTCTGGCCCGCGTTCTTGAGCGCCACGGCCGCCTGCTCGTGGGTGGCGCTGCGGAGATCAACCCCGTTCACCTGCAGGGGGGAGATATGGGGTGTATGGGGGGGATATAGGGATATATGGGGTATATGGGGGGATATGGGGTATATGGGGTATAGGGGGTATGGGATATGTGGGGTATATGGGGGATATAGGATACATGGGGTATATGGGGTGTATGGGGTATGGGGTATAGGGATATATGGGGTGTATGGGATGCATGGGGTATGGGATATGGGATATATGGGGTATGGGATATGGGGTATATGGGGTATGGGATATGGGGTATGGGATGGATGGGGTATGGAGTATATGGGAGACAGGGTGTATGGGATATAGGGGGCATAGAAGATATAGATACATGGGATATGGGATATAGGGATATATGGGATATGGGATACAATGATATATGGGGTATAGGATGTATGGGATATGGGGTATATGGGGTATGGAATATGGGATATATGGGGTATGGGATATAGGAATATATGAGGTAAGGAATGTATGGGATATATGGGATATGGGATATGGGGTATGGGATATATGGGGTATGGGATATATGGGGTATGGGATATATGGGGTATGGGATATATGGGGTATGGGATGGATGGGGTATGGGATATATGGGGTATGGGATATATGGGGTATGGGGTATATGGGGTATGGGATGTATGGGATATGGGATATGGGGTATATGGGGTACAGTGGGATGGGAAGGGGTTGCCATGGAGATGGGGATATAGGGGTATGGGATATGGGATATGGGATATGGGATATGGGGTATGGGATATGGGATATGGGGTATGGGATATGGTTATGGGGTATGGAATATGGGGTATGGGATATGGGGTATATGGGGTATGGGATGAGGCCGTGTCCCTGTGGGGCTGGGGTCGCAGTGGGATGGGGCTCGAGGCCAGGCAAGCAAAGGGAGATGCTGGGGAGCGAGATATGGGGATGGGAATGGGGCATGGGATATGTTAAATGGGATATGGTATATGGGATATGGTTATGGGGTATGGAGTATGGGGAATGGGGTATATGGGATATATGGGATGTATGGGGTATATGGGGTATGGGATGTATGGGGTATGGGGTATGGGATATATGGGGTATATGGGGTATGGGGTTATTATGGGATGCATGGGGTCTGGGATGGGGACACCTCACCTTAAGGGTACCGCAGGGGACATGGCAGCAAGGATGGGGACAGCTTTGGGGGGGACACGGCCCTATAGGGGGGAGGAGGAGAAGGGGACAAGGATGGGGACCAATCCCTATGGAGGATGAGGACCAATCCCTATGGAGGATGGGGACCAATCCCTATGGAGGATGAGGACCAATCCCTATGGAGGATGAGGACCAATCCCTATGGAGAGCAGGATGAGGACCAATCCCTATGGAGGATGAGGACCAATCCCTATGGAGAACCAACCCAAAAACCAACCCAGGAGGATGAGGACCAATCCCTGTGGAGGATGAGGACCAATCCCTATGGAGAGCAGGATGAGGACCAATCCCTATGGAGGATGAGGACCAATCCCTATGGAGGATGAGGACCAATCCCTATGGAGAGCAGGATGGGGACCAATCCCTATGGAGGATGAGGACCAATCCCTATGGAGGATGAGGACCAATCCCTATGGAGAGCAGGATGGGGACCAATCCCTATGGAGGATGAGGACCAATCCCTATGGAGGATGAGGACCAATCCCTATGGAGAGCAGGATGGGGACCAATCCCTATGGAGGATGAGGACCAATCCCTATGGAGGATGAGGACCAATCCCTATGGAGAGCAGGATGGGGACCAATCCCTATGGAGGATGAGGACCAATCCCTATGGAGGATGAGGACCAATCCCTATGGAGAGCAGGATGGGGACCAATCCCTATGGAGGATGAGGGCCAATCCCTATGGAGGATGGGGACCAATCCCTATGGACGATGGGGACCAATCCCTATGGAGGATGGGGACCAATCCCTATGGAGGATGAGGGCCAATCCCTATGGAGGATGGGGACCAATCCCTATGGAGGATGGGGACCAATCCCTATGGAGGATGGGGACCAATCCCTATGGAGAGCAGGATGGGGACCAATCCCTATGGAGGATGGGGACCAATCCCTATGGAGGACGGGGATCCCATTGGGTGCCATGGACCCCCCCCCATCACCATTGAGGGGGAAGATGCCAATGGTGGCAACCAAGGGGTGTCAGTGCAGGGGGGGGCTTAGGGGCAATGGGGGGATAGGATGGGGGTCAGTGGGGGTCAATGGGATCAATGGGTGTCAATGGGTATCAATGGGGATCAATGGGTATCAATGGGTGTCAATGGGTGTCAATGGGTATCAATGGGTGTCAATGGGTGTCAATGGGTATCAATGGGTGTCAATGGGTGTCAATGGGTATCAATGGGTGTCAATGGGTGTCAATGGGTATCAATGGGTATCAATGGGTATCAATGGGTGTCAATGGGTATCAATGGGTATCAATGGGTGTCAATGGGTATCAATGGGTATCAATGGGTATCAATGGGTGTCAATGGGTATCAATGGGTGTCAATGGATGTCAATGGGTGTCAATGGGTATCAATGGGTATCAATGGGTGTCAATGGGTGTCAATGGGTATCAATGGGTGTCAATGGGTGTCAATGGGTATCAATGGGGTGTCAGGGGGTGCGTACTCACAGAGAGGATCTGGTCCCCCTTGCGCAGCTCCCCACTGAGGTCAATGGGGACTCAATGGATGTCAATGGGTGTCAATGGGTATCAATGGGTGTCAATGGATGTCAATGGGTGTCAATGGGTATCAATGGGGTGTCAATGGATGTCAATGGGTGCCAATGGGTGTCAATGGGAGTGTCTCAAGGTCTGGCCAATGGTCAATGAGGTCAATGGGGACTCAATGGGTGTCAATGGGTGTCAATGGGTACCAATGGGTGTCAATGGGTACCAATGGGTGTCAATGGGTATCAATGGATGTCAATGGGTGTCAATGGGTATCAATAGGTTGTCAGGGGGTGCGTACTCACAGAGAGGATCTGGTCCCCCTTGCGCAGCTCCCCACTGAGGTCAATGGGGACTCAATGGATGTCAATGGATGTCAATGGGTACCAATGGGTGTCAATGGGTATCAATGGGTATCAATGGGTACCAATGGGTGTCAATGGGTATCAATGGATGTCAATGGGTGTCAATGGATGTCAATGGGGTGTCAGGGGGTGCGTACTCACAGACAGGATCTGGTCCCCCTTGCGCAGCTCCCCACTGAGGTCAATGGGGACTCAATGGGTGTCAATGGGTATCAATGGGTATCAATGGATGTCAATGGGTGTCAATGGATGTCAATGGGTCTCAATGGGGTATCACTGGGACTGTACTCACAGACAGGATCTGGTCCCCCTTGCGCAGCTCCCCACTGAGGTCCGCGGGGCCCCCCGCCAGGATGAAGGAGATGAAGATCCCTTCCCCATCCTCGCCCCCCACGATGTTGAAGCCCAGCCCCGTGGAGCCCCGATGGATCAGGATGCGCCGCGGCTCCCTAGGGATACAGGGGCAGCAATGGGGGACCCCATAGGGGACAATGGGGGGGTACCCCAATGATGATGGGGACCCCATAAGTGACCATAGGGACACCCCAATGATGATGGAGACCCCCATAAACGACCATAGGGACAACATTAGTGACCATTGGGACCCCATAAGTGACCATAGGGACCCCATAGCAACCCCATAGGTGCCCATAAGGACCCCATAGGTGACCACAGGGACCCCATAGGGACCCCATAGGTGCCCATAGGGCCCCCATAGGTGCCCATAGAGACCCCATAGGTGCCCATAGAGACCCCATAGGTGCCCATAAGAACCCCATAGACCCCCATAGACCCCCCATAGACCCCCACAGACCCCCCATAGACCCCCCATAGACCCCCCATAGACCCCCCCATAGACCCCCATAGACCCCCATAGACCCCCCATAGACCCCCCATAGACCCCCCATAGACCCCCATAGACCCCCATAGCCCCCCATAGGCATCCATGGGGGTACCTGGGGACGTCGTCGTCGGGCAGGAGGTCCTTGGGGCCGGGGGAGTAGCGGCGGGGGGAGGTGGGGGTGAGGGCGGGGGCGGGGAACTCGGGGCCCAGGAAACTCTGGGGGCCCAGCTCCGAGTCCAGGTGGGCGGAGTAAGCTGGGGGAGGGGATAATGGGGTTAATGGGGGGCAATGGGGGGTGGGGGTCAATGGGGATAATGGGGGTAAGGGGGGGAATGGGGTGATGGGGTAATGGGGGTCCATGGGGTCAATGGGGGTAAAGGGGTAATGGGGGTCAATGGGGTAATGGGGGGAAATCAAGGACATGGGAATGAAGTGATGGAGGTGGCACCCAATCGATACCCATAGAACCCAATGACCACCCCTAGAGCACCCCAATGAGCAACCATAGCACCCCAATGGGCACCCATAGCACCCCAATGAGCACCCATAGCACCCCAATGAGCACCCACAGCACCCAATGAGCACCACTAGCACCCCAATGAGCACCCATAGCACACAATGAGCACCACTAGCACCCCAATGGGCACCCATAGCACCCCAATGGGCACCCATAGCACCCAATGAGCACCCCTAGCACCCCAATGAGCACCCCTAGCACCCCAATGAGCACTCATAGAGCACCCCTAGCACCCAATGAGCACCCATAGCACCCATAGAGCACCCATAGCACCCCAATGGGCACCCCTAGCACCCCGTAACTCACATCCGGTGACATCGGGGGGCGCAAAGGAGTCCCCCAGGAAGGAGGCCGCGGGCTTGGCCACCCGCAGGTAAACCACATCGAAGGTGTTCTTGAGGGCAGCGACTGCATCCTCGTGCATCACATCCTCCAGGCTCACGTTGTTCACCTATGGGGGAATGGGGGGCAATGGGAGTCAATGGGGGTGATGGGAGTGATGGGGGAATGGGGGTGATGGGGCGAATGGGGTCCCATTGAGTTCAATGGGCTCAGGGTGCAGTTTGCCCTAGTGGCCACAAGGTGGCGGTGTCGCCATTGAGTCCCATTGATCTCCATTGACTTCCATTGCCCCATTGACTCCCATTGATACCCATTGATACCCATTGACCCCCATTGACATCCATTGACCCCATTGACTCCCATTCACCGCCATTGACTCCCATTGACTCCCATTGACTGTCATTGTCCCCCCTTGAGCCCCACTGTCCCCATTGATTCCAATTACCCCATTGACTCCCATTGTCCCCATTGACCCCCATTGATCACCATTGACTCCACTGACCCCCATTGACGTCCATCACCCCCCATTGATTCCATTGACACCCATTGTCCCCATTGACCCCTACTGACTCCCATTGAGTCACATTATCCCCATTGACCCCCATTGACTCCCATTGACCCCATTGACTCCCATTACCCCCATTGACCCCATTGCCCCCCATCACCCCCATTCCCCCCATTACCCCATTGACCCCATTACCCCCATCACCCCCATTACCCCATTGACCCCATCACCCCCATTACCCCATTACCCCCATTGACCCCCATTACCCCATTGCCCCCATTACCCCCATTACTCCATTGACTCCCATAGCCCCCCATTGCCCCCCATATCTCACGGCCAGGATCTTGTCCCCTATCTGGAGCCTCCCGTCCTTGTGGGCGGCGCCGCCCTCGATCACCTTGGTCACGTAGATGCTGTTGTCCCCTGGGATGTGCTGGTTCCCCACCCCCCCCGCGATGCTGAACCCCAGACCTGCAATGGGGGGAGCGCTATGGGGCACCCCATAGAGAGACACCCCTGCCCCATAGCGTGGGTCACCCCATAGAGACACCCCCCCCATCTATAACATGGGCTGCCCCATAGAGATACCCCCCCCATCTATAACACGGGCTGCCCCATAGAGATACCCCCCCTCTATAACATGGGCTGCCCCATAGAGGGATCCATCCATCCCTCCCCATACATAGGCTATGGGGCTGCTATGGGTCCCTATAAAGGGGGTCACTATGGGGGTCCCCAATGCTGCCCTATAGGGGCCTGGGGGGGGTTGGAAGGGTCCAGTGGGGTCATAGGGAGGGGTTGGAGGGGGCCAATGGGATGCAGTGGGATGCAATGGATCTCAATGGGTGCCAGTGGGTCCCAATGGGGTTCAATGGGTCTCAATGAGTCCCAATGGGTCCCAATGGTGTTCAATGGGCTCCAATGGGTCCCAATGGGTCTCAATGGGTCCCAATGGGTCCAATGGTGTTCAATGGATCCCAATGGTGTTCAATGGGTCTCAATGGTGTTCAATGGGCTCCAGTGGTTCCCAATGGGTCCCAATGGTGTTCAATGGGGTGCCAATGGGTCTCAACGGGTCCAGTGGTGTTCAATGGCGTTCAATGGGTCCCAAAGGTGTTCAATGGACCCCAATGGGTCTCAATGATTCCCAATGGGTCTCAATGGGTCCCAACGTGTCTCAGTGTGTCTCAATGGGTCCCAATGGTGTTCAGTGGGGTCTCTATGGGGTCCCAATGGGTCTCTATGTGTCTCTATGGGTCCCTATGGGTCGCAATGGGTCCCAGTGTGTCCCTATGTGTGTCTATAGGTCCCTATGGGGTCCCTATGGGGTCCCTATGGGGTCTCTATGGGTCCCAATGTCTTAGAA